CGCTGTAAATTGAGGATTTCTTGCATGTTCCTGAATCAACCATTTGCAAAAACCTCGACGTAGTGGAAAGCCTCAGGAGTAACGCTTGAACACGTTGAATATGAAACATGATGCGAAATATTTACTTGCTGTGCGATATTTCTGGTGCTATGATGCGGATCTTCTTCGAGGAGATCTAAAATCATCTCCTCGACATTTTATATTCTTAGTTGTCGCCCTGGGCCACCGTCGCGACTTCGACGCGGTTGTACTTCATCGGCGTCCAAAACTCTTTGCGCTACAGCAACAAATGTTCGCGGTGCGGTAGCACATCATTCAGGATACCTTGCATGGTACACTTGTCAAGCTCTGTAGGCATTTTCGTTTGCTTCGCCATAAATTATGAGCATATAATATTCGCGATTGCAAAATAAAACTTGGAAATACAGCTATTAAATATACTCGAAAAACAGCACAGTCCTGAGGGGTTGTTTCTTTAATTATCTATCTACCGTTATGACCAGTATCCTAACAAGTCTGGATTTCAAAAGAGTTTACTATTTAATTCTCGAAATGAAGTTTATAATTATCATTATACTTTAATTAATACGTGGGAACTTAGAAATGTTGTATGTTCAGAGAATGAATTTCAGGCACTTACCCTCTATTGCTTACGTAGAATGTAATCCATTGGCTGGCTGTACAGGGTGACACTGAAGTTGAGAGAAACAAAAGGAAACAGCAAAACTTACAGGAAGGGTTTTAATAACAATAAACAAAACAAACAAACAAAATAACAACACAACGGCTCGAACAACATTATTAACTAATTTATTATCACGCGACAGCGTACCGAGATTCAGGGAATGCGCGCTCCATAGCAAAATTTGGAAAAAAGTTTATCCATTATTAAATTTAATTAACTAGCCCGAGACTCTAAAACTAAGTCGACTGCTCAATGTGGAACATAAGAGATCTTTCCCGAAATCGACACGCCCATTTCTTGGGTTCAGAAGTTTCTGTTCTTATCTTACTGGCGGGAACCCTGAATGTCGGGATGCTTTGGCATAACTATGCCATGTTAATAATTGTCTACTGAACTGAATTTACATTTATATAAATAATTATGTGACTTACAAGTAACCCTAGCCTTCCTCTAGCGACTCCGTGTAGCAAATACGGGACGGATTAGTAGATCTCCTTTAATCTACTGTTATAGCTTGGAAAATCCGTCAAAAAACCAGCTACTTGATCTGTAACTTTCTTTTCCAATTACTATCAATCTACAATTTGATTTAATTCTACTTTGGAACCTCTACGCTCTTCTCGTGATTTCGCGCGTTATTAAAAATATGGGTTTCTATGCTGGCGCCTCTCAGACGCAACAGATGACTGTCACATGGCCCCGACTCTAAGTGAACTTGTTAAAAATATTGCTAAATTTCTCCGAAGGACGACGCTACCTACCTGAAACTCTTAAGTTTCGATAATTTGTGTTGACTAATATATTTTACTTTTTGGCCCCTCCGTTCCGAGAACTAACAAATAAAATACCACGCGTCCCGGCTTTTTTCCTTCTTTTTCACCCCTTTGAATTTTTGACATAAGTTCATTAACACACTGTATAAGACGCCATTTATTGGTTTTCATTTGAAATCTGTCGCATGAAATATTTTTCCAAAATGTAATCGTTCAGTGTTTGTTAAATTATATGTAGATAGTCGTAGAAAATTTTACCTAGAAATACAACTATAGTTACCTACGTGGTACGTATTGAATTTTAAAGTAACTAATAAATATTTTTTAGAATTAATCATAAATACTAAAAACTTCGGCTCAATATTCAAAGCAATGAAATCTAAATGGGCGATGGTTAAAATTGTCTATGATTAAAATGGACATGGAATTCTGACACGCTACCGCCTCGTGAGCGCACTATTATTAGATATTAAAAAAATATATTTGTATATGCGTCAGTAACGTAATAGGCTACCAATTTATCTATATACCGATCCAGATATCGCTTGAGTAAACTCGGATCGTAGAACAAAAAGGAAATGTCATCGATGTCTGTGTGAACTGTACAGTTTGTTTTTTATCGATTGTACCATTTATGAAATATAAAATAAAAAAGGATTTAGAGCAACTTGTAATCTACGTAGTGACGTAGAACAGCACATATATTTGAAGGAAAATGTAAACCTCTCTGAAACCTTCAATAGAATTACACGATCTAGAAGAAAGGCCATAAAATAATGGCGTTGGTGAGAAATACACAAAGTCAAGTTTAAATATTCAGAACAAAGCGTCTGTCTCTTCTACAATACAATGTACTTGAATATTCAAAAGCACATTTAAATATTTATTTTTTACATAATCGGTGTTTCGAATAGTCAAAGCAACTATAAGGTTTACGTAGTAATTAGATCATTTTTTATTCAAATAAGCAGTTATTAAAGCATTTTATCAACATGAGTATATCGAAAGTAGTATTGTTTTCTTTAAACGAGTTTAATTATCTCTTAAATACAAGATAAAAGTTGATTGGGATAAGAGCAGGTATTCTTAAAAATATATAGTGATAGTAAAAACTGGACAAACATTAGGTTTAGACTACTTCGATTTAAATTTTGAAAATTTGGGATACCGGGTTTTCGGGCATGCCCTTCTCAACTAAAATAATGGCGTCCACGTACCACTTCCGGTTATATCGGAAGTCGCCATCAACTTGCTTATTTTAAATGGAACACCATATATATTATTGCAATTTTGGATTCTACGTGTTATTTTAGGTGGACTTTTATGAAGTTTCCATATTCCTAAAATTTTCGAGATATTTAATTTTTTTCAAAAAAGTGGAGAGAAACAGTGACTAGCTTCAAACCATGTGTATTTTATAATTTTTAGAATTCTTCTTAACTTTATTCTGCTCATTGGTGGAAAATAGGGATATGTGAGATATGTCTCATTAAAAACTGTAAATGTTCTGCTTAGAATCCCATTGCAACGTCTGTGAATAAATAATAAAATAATTCCACAGTTATCCTCGAAAGAAATTACATGATTTTAGGTGATTACACAAAAAATAGTAGATAACTTAAAAACTAGAAGAGATAGGTGTAGGGAACCCTGATACCGTTCGAAAGAGAATAAAATTGTGTATCAAAATATAGAAAAACATACAGGATGTTCCATTTAAAAAACCGACTTATGTAGGTTTGAGGTTAACTAAGCAATTAAGCCACTTTGAAAGTATGGATGGGAAGCTTAGGGGTCTAGTTTTCCCTCCCTCCAAATATTATTGCTTTATCTTTCTTACTATAAAATGCACATGGTTTGAAGCTAGTCACTGTTTCTTTCCATTTTTTGAAAAAAATTAAATATCTCGAAAACGGTTAATTTTAGGAATAGGGATACTTCATAAAATTCCACCTAAAATAACACGTAGAATCCAAAATTGTAATCATGTATAGGGTGTTCCATTTAAAATAAGCAAGTTGATGGCGACTTCTGGTATAACCGGAAGTGGTACGTGGATACCATTATTTTAGTAGAGAAGGGCATGCCCAAAAACCCGGTAGCCCAAATTTTCAAAATTCAAATCGAAGTAGTCTCTGAAATAATTCTAATGGGCCGTCACCGTGAGACACCCTGTATATTTTCAGATCATACCTGGTATATTAACAGTGGCAGAACTACCGTAATACAAACGGGAGCTGTGGGGACGACCACACCACTAACATTTAATAAATGTACTATATCGAAACAAACTAAAAAAATTTCGCTAACGCCTACGTTAAGTGTTTGTGTAGTTTTAGAAAATTCTATACAGGGTGATTGATTAAGACTGGCAAAATTCGTATCTGGAAATACTCGAGACTAAATTAGGACGTTTTGGCTAAACATTCTTTAATTTAAAAAATATAGAACGTAAAAAATTAATAGAATTGTGTCATGTGGTCTGATGAAGCGTGTTTTACTAGGGACGGAATAAATAATAATCACAATGGACATATCTGGGCGATATAAAATCCGCATGTAATTAGATCAAGACTAGTTCAACAATGTTTCAGTCTCAACGTTTGGGGTAGAATTTTCAACAATAATTTACTGCCTGTATATGTTTTAAATGATCGTTTAAATGCAGGTCTGTACAGAACTTTATTGGAAAACAACCTTTTTGATTTAATTGATGACGTAGGGCTTAATATTGATCAAAATATGCGGTATCAGCACAATGACGCAAAACCACATAGAGAGAGACAAGTAACTGCTCGATTAAACGATCATTTCCCGAATAAGGTCAATAGCATGGCCATCGCGTTCCCCAGATCTAAATCATTTGGACTTTTATTTATGGGGACATATGAAGCAGTTTATGTACTATGCTGAAATCACTGCCCGTCGGCAGTTTCTTGAAATAATTCAGAATGCTACCATCTGCCAAAGTTTATCATAGAGCTTGTATAACTAGGAAATTATGACCTGTTTAAAAACATGATAAAAAATATAAATAAACCGAGTAGTGATTAAATTAGTAATCCTTTGTCTTTAAATTTTGTACGTGTGCAGACTTAGTATTTCTTTAGTTTTGGGCCCTAAATATACGAATATGTATATATTATATTTATTATTATTATAAAAAATTGTACTTTTATGAAATTCTCAATGAATTATTAATAATAATATGCTGCAACATAGTTCTTTGCAACACTGCGCATAAAAAGATAATGATATGGTGGCTTGGGACATTTATGTTATAATGACAAAATAATATACTAAATAGAAGTATGTATATCTAACAAAGAAACGGAAACAACGCTTAGCTTATTAGACTTTGGTACAACTTCATAGAACACGACCGTTGTTATTTAAATAATTTCAAGAAAATTATTAACGATAACGTTAGTGTTAGAAAAGTCACAAAAAATAATAAACATATTTGTAATCAGCATGACTAGTGTAAATTTTAATTAAATTTGAAATTAATATCCCGCTTCTAAAAAGCTTCTTTTTTGCAGGACTTTAATTCAAAATGGATGAGGTGGAGGATATTATGTGTGACCAGTGCATTCTATCTCCGGAGTTTAACGTACGATTCATCGATAAAAAATCGTACTTGGTAGTTCCTGCAACGTAAGTGGCATACCCAATTGTTATTCTGATAATTATTAATATCGAACACCTGCACATGATAATTTTCTGCATTCAGGCGTCAAAATATTTTAAAAATTTACAGTGGGTAAGTTTTGGAATGTTTTAATCAACGTCAAACTTAAATAAAATATGCACAGTAATGAAAATGTTAAATTAAATCTTTTATATTTTTACCTCCATGTTCCAATCAATTATTTTTTGATGATAAGAGGATTTAAAGATTGTAAAACTGTATCTAGAAAAGAACAGCTTCACGAATTTTATTTCTATTTTGTATGAGCAATATCCGGAGCTATCAAATTTTTTCAGTTCACTCCTTGACATTTAGGATTTATCAGCAGACGGCTACGAAATAATCTGATTATAAATAGTTGTGATACGCCACTCATGATATAATTTATTTGTATTCAGCTTTCTTTGATAAGGAGTTCTCTTAATTATATCAAATATCTAAAGTAAACAAAGTACAATCTCCGACTGATATTTATTGACATAGTTAAACGAAAAATTTAAAAAATTACGTGATTTCGTAATATTGTAATTATATGTAATCATTTTATACATATAAAGTACATACAAGATATAAGATGATGAGTATCTGCCACTATCGTTTCTGTAATTAAAAAACTAAGTTTATTTTAAAAATAATGAAATACAATAATTTTTTAATAACATAATTAAGATTAATAGGTAAACATAAAAGTTTATTCATTTAATTCACTTTCACTGTTAATATTCATCACACATATTAATAATAAATGTCTCTTTACTATTCGTAATATGAATGTTCGAGTGTTTAACCGCATTATTATACTAATATACAGGTTCGGAAAGTACCGATGGTCCATCTGCCGTTACGTGAGAGCGATAAAGTAAGACATAGAAATCCATGCGATAGAGAAAGATGGCTATAATGAAGGCGTCTAATAGTCACCGCCCATTTCGCCCTTCCACAAATAAGATCCACGTCTTATTTGTGTTCTTATAAATACTTGTATTTTCATTCATTAAAATGCTTTAACCTTATTAAAAGAAAAAACCATCAAACTTCACTTTAATGAAAAAAATTGCATTTTTTTTCTATGAAAACTAAAATAGTTTTTTTTTATTTTATTACGAAGTAAGTTAACAGTTATTTTTTTATAATTAAAATAAAATTATAAAAAAATTACAGTTTACCGTACAAAATCATTGCTCTAATAATATTGCTTCGCTGCAATATAAAATAAATTAAAACTAACAAGTTAGTAAGCTATATTGCCATATTCGCGATAAAATTCGCATCTCATTTTCTGACCGGGAACGTGCCGGCGGACCACAGAGCGTTCGAACGTTGAAGCGAAACAGCTGATTTCCCCAGTCGTCTTGAATTTTGCAATTGTTTCAAAATGAAAGTGTAGCGGATCCTAACTTTATTAACAAAGTGCTATGGACGGTTGTGTGTTGTTTTAGTGGTACTGGCATTTTAAAAATGTGTGTACCAGACTACTCTTTGAAAAACAATACGGACTACAAACTGAATAATTAATTGAACACTATTACTAAAAACTCATATTCAATTATAAAACGTAGTGATAACATTAGCAATATTAAAAATACTTAATTGTAATAACATTCGAAAACAATTATTATCCTTATACATTTGTTTTTATTAACTAATAAATAATACTTTAAAAAGTAAAAATGCCTTCATGTGTCTAGCTAAAAGTTCATGTTGTCGTTATAGTACACATTAAAAACGTATTAAAAACTAGGTTAGTGACCGAATAATACAGTTGATCAAGATTCACTCTCGATAAACCTTTGTGCGGGTGCTGTCGGAAAAAGGGTTAACTAATTAATGATATTACGAGTATAAGGTGATTCAAACCTTGTATTATTAATTTCTGGCATAATTGCTACTTCTAATTTTTATAAAGTCATAAATTGCTCATTGCAGGATTACAAAGAGTATGTCTATGCTCATTCAAACAATCTTTTATATTTTTAGCTGCTTAATAAAGCATTAAACAACCGGCCACCTTGAAATTGTGTGTATTATTGTTATTCTTTTATCTCTGTTGATGGTTGTTTTATTTTACACCGACCACTAGAGTCAACCTCACTTTTCGTTTGAATATCATGGGTTTCAACCATGTTTCAAACCACAAAAGGAATTATTACTACGGTCGTACGTTTCGATCTTATTAATCTTCATCAGAATGAAAACTAGAAGATGTTAAATATGTATAGGTATAGGTACATACAAGTAATGTTTGTACACTACAATCCATTTATTTTCGAGAAACTGATCCATTTTTCACTTTTCAACTCTTACCCTCGCATTTTTCGATTAATTCGGTCCCATTCTAGAACTACTAGTCTAGTACGGCACCTCCTACACCCAACAATTCGCTATTATAGAACCTGAATTGATACGTCCTTGGGGTCATCATCATCATTATCAATTACTCTATACGCCAATAAAATCCATACATATATCTCTGTCTCGCAAATTATTAGTCATTTGACGGTCTTCAACGTGCAATATTCAATCTGATCACACGAAAATAGTGTTTCGTGTGGTTTTTTACACGCGCCAATGAGGGATGTGGATGAGTGATTAGTATTGTGAGATGATGTTGGATTACCACTTTAAGCTTTGTCAAACTTTAACCACCTTCAAGCTGCATGTGTCTAGGTGAGAAAATCACAGAAAATTTTTAAAATAAAATTTCATTCTGGTTTTTAAATAAAACGTGTTTTGTTTATAGAAGCAATCGTTTGATTTGATATTTTAATTATACGTTTTATGGAAATGGGCTCTATTTAGCGAAAAAAATTGCTCAGTCGTTAATTTTTACTGCCCTGTATCTCAAAAACTATGCGTTATAGTTTATATGAATTTTTTTGGTTAACTTGTGACGTAAGATCTAAACTAACGACAGTCAGGTATTTTAGTTGCACCCTATGCATAAATTAATTCTTAATAACCAATAAACTAGAAATTTGAGGAATTTTAGCAGTAAGAAACCTTTACCTAATTTTGGGAAATGTATTTTTTGACATCAAACTTAGGACTTAATTTAAAAACTGTTTCCTAAAGGTCAAAAAGACACTTTAGTTGGACTAGAACGAAAAGACTTTTACTCTGGAACAAAAAAGTCATCTCCATGCAGCTGTTACTTATTAATTTAATTGGATAAATTGCTTCAATAATATGACAACTTATTTTTGAAAATCTATTTGTTTCAATTGAACAAATATTACCACTCAAACTAATCATTAAACTATCATTTTTTTATTTTCTTAAGTTACTTATTTGTGATACCTACACAGTTTTCGTTTTTTTTTTTCATTTATTTATTGGGTTTTTCCCACCCGTTAAATTAAAAAAAAAAATACGAAATAAACCTTTGCTCCAAAAAGATCAGTTAAAGGTTATTTTTATGAAAATAATCTTGCCTAACCAAAAGTATCATACGAAAAAAGCAGCAGACAAATACACGTCACACAAATCATCACACAAATACACATCGCCTATTTCAAAAAATTGTTGAAGTTTCGAAAATTTATCTATCTATCTATCACGATGACTTGTCATTTTTAATTATTTTTGGCAATATAAATTGGTTTGCTTTTTAATGTTTCCAACGTTAGAAATATAATGTGACGTTCTTCCAATCCCCATGTCTAAAAGATACGCCAAGAAAACTTCTTCCGAGTTTCTACTGCATTTCTTCCAAGATTTTAGCGAAAATAATCCTAAATATGCAACTTCGGCTTTCAGTCGAATATTTTCTGGCAGTCCATCACATTCTTTTTTACTTATAAATAGCTATGTATCCATAACGACAGACGTTGACAACCAAGATTTGACTGCTTGACTTTTTAAAACATCTCTTCAAATTGGTTTTCGTTAAAAAACTGCTGGACAAAACGTCACACGTGGACTGAAGTCCCATACGCACGTGAGAAATTGCCACATTCTAGCAAGCGCTCGTGCTCGTGCGTCAAACATCTCGATTATAATGGCTTATTTCACTCACTTGCAATATAATCTACTATTAAGCACTGTTAATTATCTAAACATTTATTTTTTGACGAACAAATGTTTCGTGAAATGCACCTGTACAAAATCAAATCAATATTTCAAAGGTGCGAAACGTATATTTAACTCAAACCCCATTAATTAGAGATATCCTGGTCCACTGTTAATCTTAATATGTGCGTCATCCACCTACTGGACTAAAAATAGAGAAATTCATATTGGCAATATAAAACCCGAGGTAGATCCAGAATTTATTTTACACGTCGACTCCAAATAAAAAATCGCCTGATCAGGAGCTGATTGATGTATTTTTATAACCTTGAAATTGAAAAGAAATTAGCTTCCTTCTGACGTCTTGCCTGAAAAATAGTTTCAGCTCTAACTGGATTGTTAAATTTAAAGCTTATCTGTTTAAAGTATCATAATCAGCTGCCACTTTGGGGCAAAATCTCTACTCTCAACCTTAAAACATAAGCTTGAATTTGCAACACATTTTTAGTCAATTCATTAATTTTTACATATTCGTTCTTTAACGAAAGTAATTTTATTTATTGTTAACATTTATAGAGAAATTAGAACAGCCTGTAAGGGATATCTCTTGTCATGTTTGTTTTGAAATATTTACTTTGTCTATGTAGGTTGAAGCGTTTTCACTATTAAATGGTTTATGACCTTTTGAATCCTCCAAAGGAATTTTTTTTGCTAACAACTGATTTACATGAGTTATGGACTCCTCAATGTAGCCTTCAGCTACCGTTGAAGATTTTCATCAACGCACCTACATTTTTAAAGTTTAAAGCTCCTGAATTTATTAATGGTATAGCTGAAGTTCTACGGTATATTCGTGAGCATCCTTCAACTTGAGAAACGCGGCAATTTGTTTTGGCATTTTCCCAAATGTATGAATTTCTATTAATTGGTTATGCTTTACCATTTGAATATATAAAAAAAATTACTATATATCCGATATATTTAAATCGAGGGGCGATTCGCTAAGGAAAAAACGTACGAAGATTACAAAATTTCTGAAATATCTTGTAATGTATCTGCAGATTTCAATATCGATTAAAAAAAAATTACAAATTTCATATAAATAATCAAGATTACAATATCTTTCAACCGATTACAAAACATTTCAGGAGATTTCAGAGTTATTTTAGTAGATTTCATTGATTATTTAAGATTTCAATAGGATTATTCGAAATTAAAAAAAGATTTCAAAATTTCTTAATAATATTTCAAGGAATACGGGAAGATTACAATAAGTTTTGAATGTCCATTTGAACAAAAATAATTGAATTAACTTCAACTGTCATTCATTTCATTCATTAACAGTAGTGCTTTGATTAAGAATTTCCAGTATCATTTTTACGCAAAAATTGTAACATTCTGATTAAGTTTTTGTTCGAATGAACGTTAAAAACTTTTTGTCATGACAAAAATGATAACGCCATTTTGAAAGTAGGTAAGTATATATTTTTATTGAAAGATAAAAATATAATAATCCAATAAACTAATAAATATAAAAAAAATAGAAGTAACATAAAATAAACATTTTCCCACAAAATAAATAATAAGAAATATTTTAAGCTTTTATTAACACTTGTATTTAATACTTTACCTGTATACAGTGTATTTAAAAAAGACGCGGCAATATTTAAGGGGGCGATTGCCCAGATCATTTACAGAATGTTGAAATTTCATTAAAAAAACAGTAAAAATTAAATTTCTCCAAAACCTCTTGATATTATATTGAAATTTTAGGCCTGTCAATAGCTATGGCAGACGCGTACTTTGCAATACAAAACGATTTTTTAGTCTTACCAGTTACTAGCTATTTGTAATGAAAAAAATAGGACCCCGCTGGTTTTTCTAAAAATATAATTTTTTAATTCCTTGTTCAATTATGAAGAAGAAAGCTTTCCTCAGATTATACGCACCGTACGTCACACCGTTATTAAGTAAAAAAATAAAAAACATTTTATTGCGCACCTAAACCCAATGTTGTTTTAATTGAGCAATTTAAATTATTTAACAAAGAAATTCAAATTATCAAATTTGATTGATTTTTGAAATGTGGTACATACTGTTGTTTGTAGTAGGTAATAATAAGGGGCTGCGTTTTAGAGAAATTTAATTTTTACTGTTTTTTAATGAAATTTCACATTCTGTAGATCGGTAACGAAGCGTTTGCGGACCTATGTTTATAGGACTTTTTTTTATAAACTGACCTGAGCAATCACTCCCTTAAATATTGCCGCGTCTTTTTTAAACACACTGTATACAAGTAAAGTATTAAATGCAAGTATTAATAAAAGCTTAATATATTTTTTATTTATTAGTTTTTGGGAAAATACTTTCAAAATAGCATTATCATTTTTGTCATGACAAAATGTTTTTAACGTTCATTCGAACAAAAAACTTAATCACAATGTTACAATTTTTGCCCAAAAAATGCCTAATACTGGAAATTCTTAATCAAGTTAATGAATGAAATTAATGACATTTGAAGTTAATTCAATTATTTTTGTTCAAATGGACATTCAAACCTTATTGTAATCTTCCCGTATTCCTTGAAACCTTATTAAGAAATTTTGAAATATTCTTTTAATTTCTAATAATCCTATTGAAATCTTAAGTAATCATTGAAATCTACTAAAATAACTCTGAAATCTCCTGAAATGTGTAGTAATCTTGATTATTTATATAAAATTTGTAACATTTTTTGAATTGATATTGAAATCTGCAGATACATTACAAGAGATTTCAGAAATTTTGTAATCTTTGTCTGTTTTTTCCTTGGCGGATTGCCCTTCGGAACACACCAATCGCACCATATAGGTTTCTGTCGAGGTTTCTGTGGCATTCTTTGGAAAATGAGGTAGGGGGGGGGGGCGTTGTACAACGACTACATCGACGAAATTCATTAGCTGATTACATAGATTACAGCGAAGATTACAGATAAGATTACGTAGATTACAGTTAGATTACATAGATTACAGATAAGATTACGTAGATTACATAAAGATTCCAGGGCAAACGTACGAAGATTACATCAGCGGATCGCCCCTCGATTTAAATATTCGCTTACAATAAAATATAAATGTTTTTCTTTGTTTGCAATGTGATCAGTAATCTATTCACTTCATCACATCGACACGCCCCAGATGGCAAAAATCATTGCCACCTAAAATAATAATAGTCAGTATTCTTCGTTTACAAAAATATTTTGAACCTAAATAAACGTATCAGGGTCCAACATTACAATTTTTTTTAATTTTTTATATGTTGCTGATATATCTTCTTCGATTTTTTTGGTAATAAATTACACTCTATTTACTTTACTGATTCAATAATTTCTGGAGGAATTAATGCGAATTCTTCATATTATTATTCATGAAAGAAGTATCATCCAATTTTAATAATATAAAATAAATAGCTATGTTTGCCATTATGATAAAATTAAAATTAATCGACAAAAAAATTGTGTTTAACATGGCAGTAATGTAAATTTAATTTCATGGCTGCTTTAATGGACTCAACTGCGCCTCGTCTGTCAAATACCAGCCGCCTTAAATCGTGTACTTTACAGCATAGTTAAACAAATTACTATTTGATGTAAAAGCACAGATTGGCACATGTCAAACGCGTCATCTAGCATTTAACGCCAATATTTTAAATTGTAATTTAACATCCAGGCATTATTCATAACACGAGTCCACTGTTGCACAAATCCTTTCACATATTACCACAAAACAGAATTACTACTTATTAAAAAATATATGTAAAAACAACAAAACGTATAAGTCGTTTCCTGTTTTGAATTATTATTTATTTGTAACGTATAATTATATCTGCTACATATTCATGAATTGTCTGTCATAGTATTGTAGCTACGTTTATAGGCAAAGACATAAATTTCATAAAAAAATATATAACATAATTCTGAGCGTCCAATATGTCCTTGATTAAACATTAACAGGTAGAAGCCACTTAAATATTATCTGTCGTATTGACTGGACAACCTATGGCCTCGTTTAAATATGTACAGCACATTTTCTCCAATAACGAAATGGAATATTCATATTGAAATAACATTATTTTCTAAATTCTAGTCAATTAGTAAATGCAAGTAAGTAATTACTTAATACATACTAAAATTTTAAAATGCATATGTATTTATGCAACATATATTACGTAAAACATTATGCTGTATATCATTTGACATACAGGGCGTGACTAAAAGTTTGGTCAAATAGTGAAACATCACAAATTTAAAATGAAATTCGTAGAAGTATTCAAAACCGCTTTGTTTCAAGATACAAATCATATATTTTTTTAGTGGCACAGGGCGTGCACTTAGGTATTAATTTCTGTAAATATAAGTAACCTTATTAGTATTTTGCTTCAGCAACTTTTTGAAGTATAGCAGACTCGTTTCCGGATAACCAGAATAAAATAAAATCAATTGAAATTGCACTTTACTTATCATTTGCGATTAGAAATTGACCATTGATACTGACGTCATCGAGCGATGGCTCGTGAGACGTGAGCCCTTATATTATAGAAGGGTCTCTAAAATGCGTGTACTAGCAAGCCACCCTAGATTCCTGTAGTTAAAACAAAACGATTTAGACCAACTTACCTATACGTATACAAAAGGCAAAAGCCTACTAGTTGTAAGATATAGCTACGAAACAACGTTTTTTTCATATATGTAACTTTAAATCAGTTTGAGCTTACTTGACACAGGTCTTTCTTTATTTGTGTCTATTATATTACTTGATAATGATATAGTGTGTTATTCTTTTAAGGTCTCAACCCTCTTGATCTTTTATTTTATCAATAACTCATATAAGTCACTCAAGGAAAATAAATAACTAATACAAGTTATAACCTTGCAACCAATCGCGGTGTGCTAGAGTGAGACAACATATACTAAGATACTGTCTGTCTCTCTCGCACACTCAGCTACACTTTTCACAATGGCACGCTACCTCCAGTAGTATATGCTCGAAAGTTATAACTCATATGAGAAACTCAAGGAAAATGAGTTACTAAAATTTCCACCACTGATCATTAACATTTACAATTATGTTCTTCCAGAAAACTATGGCTTGCCGTCGACCTCCTGGCTCGCGCCCTCTTGCCGTCTGTAGCCAGCGTCTATTCCGCCTTCTTCAGAAACCCCCAGAACGTCGTCTCCAACGTCCGAAACCAGCTCATCCCATCCCTAGCCGCCTTTCTGGCCAACAGCGTCTCCCGCTCCTTAGCCTCGGTGCAGAGGATATCGTTCCCCCTCACCATAAGAATAATCAAGGTCGACGAGAACAAGGCCATAACCTCCGGCGAAGAAGAAGACCTGACGCCGGAAAAGTCGGTGGAGTGCTTGGTCCTCTCCGAACCCGATGAAGAAGAGATCGAGGCGGACGTGATTTTCATTCATGGGCTGCACGGGGGTATCGATAAGACTTGGAAGCAGGGCACTTGGAGGCACAGCGGGCACAAGTTGACGCATCAGTCGCCCATTAGGCGGCAGTCCACAGGTGAGTCACGTTAACTTGTTTTTTTTTCCTCGCTTTTTGCGTCGCTTATTTACTATTTTAATCCCTAAATATTGCTATGATCGCTTATCAAACGATTTTATTACATTATTTTGCATTTCTAGGCGACTTATACGTGCCGCCTAGGCAGCAGTCCCTCAAGCGCACCCTATCCGAGATCTATTCGAAGATCCCCAACAAGATAGCCAGGAAGGACGAACAGATATGCGTGGTTGCGAAGGAACCGGAGTGGGAGGACGAGGAGTACGCCGAGGAAGACGTCGACTACAGCAAGTGCTGGCCGCAGGATTGGATACGCAAGGATTGCCCCAACGTGAGAGTCATAGCCTTGAATTACTCAACCGATGTCCTGTGGTGCCCGATGTGGGCGAAAAAAAGAAATCGGTGGGTTGTAGTGTAGAATAGTAGTGTCTTAGTTATCGTAATCGATGCGGCCTTCTATATTTATCCCACATTGTCATGCGATTCACTGAATCACGAAACGTGACAATGAGCGCGATTTTAATACTTTAATAGGAACAAAGTGCAACCTTCGTTAAATTAATTTATACCGGGATAACAAGCGAGGATTAAAAAATATTCAACTCTCAGATTCGTAGATTGATAAAAAAATTGCTTGCTATTGCAAATAATGAAAAAAACTAGTAAACTTAACATTTTTGCTAATTTGATGTTTTCAGAGAAATGCAACTGAAAGTTAATTTTATGAAGTACCCTGTATGCTTTTATCGTATTTTTATTACAAAGATTTGTTCATGAAATATATTTTTTAAAGATTTAAACTGCAAACATATATTTTTTAATTCAACTATTTCTTGATTGATTTAAGTTAAAAAAAATGCATAGCACACAGAAAATATCAAGATATAGTAGGATTACAAAATATCCAATAATATTTAGATTTAAAAAATCAAAAAGTATATACAATAGGTCCCATTTGAAAAAGTTGAGTTTATGTTTAATTGGAAAACTGTAAAATACAAAAACATATTGTGTACGCCACTAGATTCTGCGTAATAAAATTGTGGGCTTAAAAAACCTCTACAAAAATCAAATATTTTAGCAAACAAAAAAGTTGAAGGGCATCCTGGAAAACAGCCAAAAATGGAAAACGACCTGTATATCTTACACCAGTCAAGATATCGAATGTGTTTTTTCTATTCAACTATGTACTCTCGATAACAGAACCCTTAGCTACTATTTTTTATCTATATTTTTGAAAACTCCCGCTATACAGTGTCCCACCTTGAACTACGTCGATCGAAATCTAAGAAAGTACTGCTCCGAAAGTTTTGAAAATTCGGCAACATAGCAATGTCACTAGGGCGAGCAGAACTAAAATATCTAGAACTCTCCAGTACCAACCGACACCAACTTCGTTATTTTAAATAGAACACCCTATATATTATAGCATTTTCGGATTCTACATGAAATTTGAGGGTCACTTCACTAAATATTCCCTATACCTACGAGTTATAGATTTTGAGATATTAATTTTTAAAGAAAAAAATGCTAGTAACTCTTTTCGGGAACATAATATCAAGCGGATTTTTGGCACCTGTAAAGGGCCTAGCTAACGCTAAATTAAGCTATACCAATAAATTAAAACATTTAATACTAGGTGTTTCATTTTTGCTGTTACATTTTGATAACTTCAGACAGCTATAACTTTGTTAACTTAAATGAAACACACTATATTTTTTTACTCTGTGGTATGCAGATTGAAATTTCCTTTCAAGCCATATAAGAATTGTTACGGTATGGTACTACTTTTAAAGATATTTGCAATTTTCTGTTTTTTTGGACACTTTTTCTCGTATCAGACCTGTTGTCAAATTAGCCATGACCAGAAATACTCCGGTCATAATTGAGGTAAAAAGTTTCCATCTTTGTTAACATAGTGCGGTCTAGATAAATTCAAATAGGTTGAATGGCTCAAATACAAATCCGATACAAATTATTATAATCAACATTTGCAAATGGCAGGAGCGTACTTCAACTTTTACTATGTAAATAAGCACTTACCTTAAAAACAGCTACAGTCCTCCGGTTGGTTGTTTTAAAATCACATGTTAATGCACACTCAGTTTTTATATTTTAAATTTAAATTACATGAAAATAAGTAAATTTCGTCGAAGTATAACTATATTATGACATGAAAACAACTTTTTCTACTAGTTCATATTGTTCACAATCACAACTTCACAACACTGTCAATAAAACAAGTAAACAAAATGTCAAAAGCTGATAGGCAATTGTTTAGCTGTCAGAGCCTACTCATATAATTTTTGAAATTATTTTATTTAACCTAACATTTTAAATTATCTGTTAAATAAACAAAAACATTGTATGAAATTAATTTCATAATAATACCATCGTATTTTTACGTACATATACAAGGATGTTACTAATTAAAAAGTAGTACCTGAAGTTTTATGTGGCAAATTTTGATGATAAACTTTACGTTTAATTTTTATTATTGCAGAACCGACATGGTTGTGAGAAGTCAAGAGATGATCGAAGAGCTCTTAAAACTGGGAGTAGGAAGGAAACCCATCATATGGGTGGGACATTCTAAAGGAGGACTTTTCATCAAGCAAATTATAGTAAACGGTAAACGCTTGTTATATATCCTAACCGTAAAATTTTGAATATTCATCACTTTCAGCCTGGGAAAGGAACCAACACAGGCCAGAAGTCTGCGAACTTTTCAGGCAGTCTAAATCCATAATGTGGTACAGCGTCCCTCACAGGGGATCATCGCTGGCAGATTTCACTTTGCCGTTACTAAGACGCAGCGTGGAGTTACTCGAAATACAAAGAAGTGAGTTAACGAAACGATAACTTTTACATATATTTTACATATTTAAACGGTAACTTGTAGATTGCGAGTTTGTGCTAGATTTGCACAAGAGATTCTTGGAGATCGTTCAGAATAACGATTTGAACCTCGAAGTCTTCAGCTTCATAGAAACTTCATTTACTCTCATGTCTTTCATTTACTTGAAAATCGTCGCTTATGACTCAGCAGGTACAACTGTTACAAATATATTAATAGATATGTATTATGAATGTTGATTGTTTTGTTTTAGATCCGAATATCGGCATAAAATGCGACGTCCCGCTGGACCACAGGGAGATATGTAAACCTGCAGGCAGGGACTGCTTCTTGTACACGGAACTAGTGAAATTGATAAATAGGTGTATCGAAAGACATAGATGAGATTATTAAGAAATAGCGGCGGTAATAATAGAGAAAATATTGACAAACGTAGACTGCAAACTAGTACCTTATAAACGTAGCTGTTATTGTTCAATTACGGTAAATACAGAGAAATATCTATGTTGAGAGTTGATTTAAAAAAATTAGAAGTAGGGAGGTAAGAATAATTATCTTTTTTTAATAGTAATGTACATTATAGGTACCAGCTGATTTTGTACAATGCAAGTATATTATATTTATTTTTTATATAATAGTTATGTACTATTAAAGGAAAAGAGAAGTAGTTCCCCATATTTTATTTTAAAATTATGTATTTTTCTCCTAGAGATAGTAGTCTTTAACCAAGTTTTTCTTTAAGTTTAAAGAAATCATATTCACAGAAAACACTTAAATCGTAGTACAATTTTATGTAATTAAATCGTTATGTTCTTAAATAGGGTGCATTCGATGTAATTTTAGCAAATTAATGTTGAAGGTGTATAATATATAAATTTTATATTCGGGGAATTCGCCATAATTTATTAAAAAGTAATGCAATAAATACAAATATGTGTATATATAAAATATAAACAAACTCTTCTGTGATTTACCTTCTAGTTAGCTTTTCACTTGTATCAACCGAGTCAAAGAAATGTTTTTTTTCTTTAATGTATTACCAAGTTCGAAACTTGAAAAACTTTGGCTCAGTTTTGTTTAAAATAGTAGATCAAGAAGCGAAATGTGATGTTAGTATTAATTATACCAGTGGACGATAAGTCTTACATGCATATTATTGATTATTAAAAGAAGAAATATCTATTTAACGTTAATAACTGTATCATAGGGAAATATATCTGTAAGGGAGTTGCGATTTCCTTGTACGAGCATTTATAGCTAACTACATATCAAAATGAAAAAGACGATTGGGGAGAACTGTATTTTTAAGTATTTTGTCTCAATGCAATTTAATTTTATCTTGTAACTGTAACCAATGTTAATAAATGTTTAAAAAGCAGTACAAAAATCTGATATATAATTATTATAACTTCCCTAAAATCCTATCTAGCAGCTAAACTGTGGAAATATCATGAATTGAGATTTTAATTAAAATATTGCGACTGTAAATTAATTGTGAGAGATTTACAATAGATGGCGCAACTCATGCTACATCGCATCGGACACTTCCATAACTATATTCATGTCAATGCTCTGTCATTTTGCCGAAGTGTAAACAACATATCTTTTCTCAGCTTCGAAGTTGTCGAATTATGAGGCAATAAGGCATCATTTGTGGGAAGTCATCGAAATCAAGTGCTGTTGGAAACTTACGGTGAACATGCTCCATCGATAAAAACGAGTGAGTATTGGTTTCGACGTTTCAGATGTGGTGACTTCGAAAAGTTCGAAGATGAGGAATTGGAAGCATTAGTCGACAAGATTTCATATCAAATGCAAGATGAACTTGTTGAATCGTTGAATGTTGACCGCACAACAGTTTCCAAACATTTAAATGTATTCGGTACGATTCAAAAGCAAGGAAATTAGGTGCCATACGAATTGAAGCAGAGTGATGTTAAGTAGCGATTTTTCTCGAGTGGTGGAGTAAAATAAGATTTTTGACTTTGAAGAAATTAGCAGATCGGGTAACTTTTGAGGACACATTTGTGAGGGTGTTAGGAACAACATATAAAAAGTTACCAACCGTAGAGTGTATACTTGATTGTTTATTTAACAAATTAGTTGCAAAATTCCATTGTTTTTTCCATTCCATTGTATATTTTAACAAATTCAATTTTTTTTTAAACTAATTGCGCCAATCGAAAGAACGGGAAATTTTACATGAAAATTGTATACAGGGTGTCTCATAATTAGCTGTCAACGCTGAACAGGCCGATTCTATGATCAAAACTAAGTAAAAAAGTTCATATGAACATGGGTCCGGAAATGCTTCCTAAGGGCACATTGAAGAGGGAGGAATGGAAATCATTTTTTTGCAATAACTCTCAATTGCGTTGTGATAAATGAATGAAATTTGGTATACACAGCTAAATTTTGATGAGCAATTTGATGGACTAATCCATTTATTTCCACAAGGTCCATTGGGGTGGGTACGGGGGGGCCCTTGGTACTTTGCATGTGTAACTTTTTCATCTTTGACTTTTTAACAAATTGGACAGCAAATTCCGTTTTCCCGAACTGTTTTATGTTAAAAAGGTACTCTTGTTTCAAATCGTTATCTTTAACGGTTTCTGAGAAAATCGCTCTTGAATTAATCTCACTTTGGTCAATTTCATAGTAATTTAAACAAAAAATAATAATAATAATTTTCCTTTCCTCTCTTTTCCATTTAAAGGATTAATTTTTATTTAATTTAATTTTTTATTATTTTTTTTTTATTAAAATTAGATTAAATTTAAACAAAAAATTTTTTTTTGTTTAAATTACTATGAAATTGACCAAAGTGGGATTAATTCAAGAGCGATTTTCTCAAAAAATACAAGGCTCGAAATATTCAATAATTAAAAAAAGGTAAATTTGATTTTTTAGGTCACGTTTCAAAGTCCAATAACTTTAGTTCAAAATATGATATTGCAACTTTACAGGAGCAATTTTTGAAGCTTGAAAACTGTACTTTAAGACTGTTTTATTTAACTGTTTTATTTAAAACGTTGAATTTATAATAAAAATTAAAGAAAATAAAAAAAAATATATTTTTTTTGTTCTAAAACGATGAAATTTGTTAAATAAACTTTAATAAAGTTAAAAAAAGTTTTTTTTGCTCGTTTAACCAATATATGATCTTAAAAAAGTTTAATAAAGAAAAAAAATTTTTGTTACTATAATGTATAAAATACAAAAAAATACGGTTTTCTCACAAGATTCAGTTTTACCTATATTTTTTCATGATAAAATTATGTAGCAGAAGTTTATCTGGTAATGTAATTCATTCTTGTGATTCGAGAATTATATTTTTGAATATTAGAAAAAAATAGAGAACATCTGCTCTCTTCTCGTCTCATTTAAAAAATATTTGTTAATTAAGAATCCCATATATTGACTTTTTGCAGAACCCTAAACATCATACCCAAATTTCTTTAAAATTTCACGAGTTGATTTCATTTTATATTTGTTCAATGATCTGAAAAATCCTAAAAGTATCAATATGAGTAAAATTGCTTTGAAAATGTAATTTTTAAATAAATTGTTTAAAAAGTCGGCCATATTGGATCAGCCATTTTGAATTTTCATTTTCTGATATTATATTCTTGTTCAAAGACCTCAAAAACGCCTATATTGTCAATTTAACTAAATTTACTTTGAAATTTGTAATTTTTAAATAATTTTTTTAAAAAGTCGGCCATATTGGATCAGCCATTTTGAATTTTTATTTTCTGATATAATATTCTTGTTCAGCGACTTTGAAAACCCCTATAATATCAATTTGATTAAAATTGCTTTGAAAATTGTCATTTTTTAATAAATTGTTTAAAAAAAGTCGGCCATATTGGATCAGCCATTTTGAATTTTTATTTTTTAACATTATATTCTTATTGAGTGACCTCGAAAACCCCAATAATATCAATTTGATGAAAATTGTTTTGAAATTTTTTAATTTATTTAAAATAATCTTTGAAAAACCATTTTTTATTGTTGAAACAATTGAATAACAATTAGCGTACAAATATAAGTTTATAACTTTTTTCTATAAGCCGTTTCAAGGTGATTGCAAAAGGTTTTATGAAAATTCAAGGCACTGCTAATTATTCCGAAATAATGCACATTTTTAAGCTACCTATACTCCAATAGAGTGAATAATTGCTTCATCGCCAAAAAAGAAAGGATTCTTTGCATCGTATTGTCACTGATGATGAAAAATGGACATGCTGTGATTATCCGAAACATAGAAAATCATGGGATTCGTCTGGTCATGCATCTACATCGACAGCAAAGTCGAATATTCATAGTTCGAATCTCATACTCTGTATCAGGTTGGACCAGCTTGGTGTTGCATACTACGAGCTGCTTCAAGTGAATGAAACCATCATTGGTAAACAAAACCTAATACAATTGATCCATTCGAGCTGCGCCTTGATGGAAAAACGGACACAATTCGAGCAACATTTTTCAACATGACAACATTCGACCACATGTTGCTCACGAAGTCAAAAAAAAAACAACAAACGCTGATGTGGGATGTTCTACCCCACCCGCCATATTCCCCAGAAATTGCTCCATCGGATTACTACTTGTTCAGATCCGTGAAACACGGCCTGGCTAAGCAGCGCTTCCAATCTTACAAAGATATGAAAAATGGTATCGATTGAGGGATTGCATCAAAAGTTGATGTGTTCTTTCGATGCGGAATCCATATGCTGCCACAAAGATGGGAAAAAGTAGTGGCTAGCAATGGACAATACTTTGAAAAATGATAATGTACAAAATTGTTCAGAATAAAGGCTTGAATTTTCAAAAATATCACTCAAAATTAATTCAGTCGTAGTATTTCTTTTTTAACTCAGTTTCTATTCAAAATAATTGTCATAATTTAGGGATCTAAAGTTCTTAAAACAGGATATAACTAAAGATTAGTTAACAAAATGATTAAACCAACAGCCACTTCCTATTCACACTGTTCTGTTGCTGACTGGCTATTTTAGCTCAGTATGACGGTTTTTAGGTCCGCAATGAAGGCACCTATTTTAATCGCAAAAATCAATAGAGGGATGAATTCTAAGCAAAAAATGCTCTATAACGTTTTTTTTCCAAAAACTAATATTTTCCGAGTTATTTGCGATTGAAAATGATGATTTTTCATCTAAAAAGTGCATGTTTTTCACCATTTTTGATAAATAATTCGAAAACCTTGCGTTTTATCGAAAAACCAATATAAAGCAAAAATAAAGCTTTTGGAATAACGATTAAATTTTTGGTAACCGAGTTATCACTCTTTAAAGGTGATTGTTTATTTTTTGGAAAGTAAAATTGAACCGTAAAATAATGGCGAAAGAACAAATTTTTCGAAGAATGTTTTTTAAAGAAAAACCTTGCGTTTTATCGAAAAACCCATATATAGCAAAAATAAAGTTTTTGAAATAACGAATCGATTCATTTTTTGTTGATTACCGTAGATGTAATAATAACCGAGTTATCACTCATTAAAGGTGATTGTTTATTTTTCGGAAAGTGAAATCGAACCTTTTACCATAAAATAATGGCGAAAGAACTAATGTTTCGAAGAAAATGAATATAACCTTTTTTAAAGTCCTTGGAAAGACCTTTAAAATGCTTTCTGAAAAAATTTCGTAGCTCAAAAACTCGCGGAGTTATGATGAAAATAAAATGGCCATCTCATTTTTTCAGAGAAAAAATCAACAATAAAATCTATGGCTGAACCATAAAAATAGGAATTAAGCGTAATCCATGTACAGTTGACTTTATTTAGGTACTAATAATAGGCTCTGCAAGTTTGACCGGTTTAGAATGCATAATTTTAAAATAGTTTGAAATAATGACAATTTTTTTTTCCTTTTTGAAATAACTCAAAAACTAAACAAGATACGTAAAAATGCAAGAGTTCAAAATTAAAGGTATTTTTTTTTATAATATTTTTGCTCACTTTCAATTTTTCTGTAGAGCAAAAATTAACTGAGATATTACGTTTTTTAGTTTGCATTTGCATGTAAGGACCACTTTCTTTGAGCCCTTAAAATCTAAAAATCTCGAAAACGAAGAGTTCACCTACCCTTCAGTTAAAGAATTAAGTGAAACCAATAAATCTGCGAATCTTGTGCCTTACATAATAAATGGTCTTGTTTTCTGTTAAACAAACTTTCTGAGACCAAGTCGCAATGTCAGAAGTGGGATATCTCGAGGAGAAAAAAATTAATGATAAACAAACGAGCAATAAAAATCCTTGAAAATAAAATTATTGTAATTATACATAAACACGTTTATTATGTTACAAACAATAAATTTATAGGAATTCTTATTAGCCATGATACTTATATTAAAAAATATGTACCGACCAAATTAATATTGGTATATTACAGGTTTCTGTACAGAAAAAACAATTATTGCATAAAATATTTTTTATGATAATATGAAATTTTCATATTAAAAAGCCTAAACATTTCTTTAGAAAATTGCTACCGCTCCTTAAAAGGCTCGTCATCGATTCATTAAGCACCTGACAAAAGGATAAACACTATTTATTTACAGCTCATTAAAATGTGTTGCTATTCACTTCGTCGAAACCCTACTTAAAATCGCCCTAAACGACACAATTGGTGGAAATTATCACAAAATAGACATCTAGTGCATAAGAAACTTACTTTCGGTAAACTTTCCAGCGTTCATTCCCTTCACATCTACATTATTTGTTATAATAGTCCAATTTGCACTGAGTTAGGCGTAAGTAACTGTTATTCAACCGTATCGTTGGCCTGTTCCAAAACGGCGCCGCTGTAAGCCAAGTCCCAGTAGTGTTCTACCCTGTGCTTCTTGAAATGCTCCCTCGCCAACCTTTCAGTCGGACATATCTTGAATTTCATCTCGCCGAAGTTCCTCTGTTTGGAAGTGCCCTCCCAGACCAAGACGCATTTGTTGGGCACTTCTTTGCCGTCCGGGTCTTTCACCACGTCTTCTTCCCATTTTATTCGGTTCAACATCAACCTGAAACGAAAGTTATAGTTTGCTTTATTAGGGGACATGCATGTTTCCTCGATTAGGGTTTGATGCAGAATAAAAAATAACTGCAAAAGTTATAACAATATTTCACAAACTCACCTTTTGTATCTTTTTTGTTGCTTTGGCCCACCTTCCACAACAACCACGCAACAATCAGGATACAAAACAACGCAACCCGTCATAAACAACTGCTTAGCATTGGTTTCCACTTTAAATTTCTTCGAAGCCAACTCGTGTAAGTCTCGGATGCGGTACACTGAAATGTGTGTTCCCAACGAGGTATCTTCTTTTATTTTCTTTATTTTCTTATCCCGCTTCTGATCTGCCGTCAACTTTCTTGCTGCGTTCGCCTCTTCGTGGGTCTTCTGTCTTTTCGCCATTTGTTCTCTCACATGAGCCTCGATCTTGGTTGGATCCTGTACAGCTTCAGTACCTAAGGCTCTCATCAAATTAGAAATTCGTAGTTTGGGTTCCGGTGGTGGTTCCAATCCCAAACGAATTTTCTCTTGTTCTTCCTTCCACATCTCTCGTCTGTTCTGTCGACGGAGTTTCTTGCGTTCCTTTTTCGTTAGAAATACGGGCATGTAAACTGGCTTGATGGGATCCGCTGGAAAAAAATTAATTATGCTACATGTGAAAGTAAGTTGTTTTTTTTTCATTTCAATTATACAATTACTTACTTGGACATCGCATTTGAGTCGGATGCTCAACTAATGTATTGATAACAGAATCCTTAATAGCGATTTTATCTCCGTCCATAGTTTCCAAATCATCTACCAAAATTACGGAATCCCACCATTCCATTTGAGGTATATCGTCACTATGGCCTTCCGATTTTGCTATAAGCGCAAGTTTGGTAGCAGAAGATATTCCAGTTTTCTTTGCTATTTGAGAGATTTCATTTTGCAATTTTTCTAACTGTGCCTAAAAGTAATCAAAACTAAAACACTGTTCATTAAATAACTTCACAATTGAGGAGAGTTTAAATATTCGTTAATACTAACCTTCATACGAAGGCGTTCTGCCAGCTGCTGGAATTTTCCAGGTTCATGGAATCTTAGAGCTCGTTTTATGCGTATTGCAGGTTTAACACCAATTCGAGGATCAATAAATCTAGTTTCGCTACTTTCTTCAGCGTGTTTGTCAGAAGTACCCTTAAATTGTTCTCGTTTAAGGGCTCTCATATTTGCTTTTAGCGTAGGAGCAACGTGGGTAAGCTGCACAGCTTTCCCCGATTTATCCACAGTTCGCCCATCCTCATCCAAAATTAATGGAGTCGGTTTGTTAGGTTGAATAGGAATTTGTATGGCGTTTGCTAATATCCCTGTCGACAGTTTACTTTTTATCTGAGCCTGCAGTTGAGCGATCTTCCTTGCCTTATCAGCATCTCCGCGATTTAATAACCCCATAGGAATGCCGTAAATACTTGGAGGTGGGATACTTAAATTGGCTATGCTCACATTGTTTTTACTTGGTGGAGGTTCATACAATTTTTTCTCTCCCGCCTCATTTTTACTTCTGGGCCTCTCAGATTCTTTGCCTTCATGTCTTGAACTATTTGTCTTTGGTCGTTTTGAATCCCTATCCCGTTCCTCATCATGAGACCTTTTTTTTGTACGATGGGACGATCTGTAATCTTCTATTAAATCGAATAATTTTTCTGCTAGTCTATAGGCTTTTTTGTTATCTAAATAGGATCCTAATTTATCAGCAGTTTTACGTTTATCATATCCACTACTTATACAGTCTACAGCTGTTCTTAATACAGAAGAATCACTTGAACCCAAAGTTTTATACACTACCTTGTCTATTGACGGTTTTAAATCGTCTATATCTCTTCTGGATAAATAAGACATGGTAAATAATGAAAATTACCTATACGAATATCATACGTTACGTTTCACAACTTTCTAGGTTAAAATTTTTGCCAGAGTTTATTTGACATTTGACAATCGACAACCTCCGTAGAATCAAGGAACACAGATTACAACAGAAGTTACGTTCGGCAAACTGTTACTGATTAGGAGTGGAGTGGATTGGGAGTTAATTCAGAATTTTTAAGAGTTCACAGAGCAAATTATAAACGAACAGTTTCAGAATCTGGAATTTGACGTTTAACAAGAGAAACAAATTTAGGTTAGATGTTTTGTGTTCAAAAGTAAAATGAATTTTCCTTTTGAAATTGTGAATTATGTTCGTGAAATATTCGATGATTCGTCCAAGGAAGAGGAAATCATTGAAAAAGTTATGAAAAAAGTTACCGATATGCCGAATATACGGTACCACATTAATTAAATGATGTATATTTGTTTTAGCAAAGCACAGAACATATACACTATAGCAAAGTTTACAGAAATAGTGTCACAGACCAATAACAGAGAAATAGTATTCTGTAAACTTTGGTTTTAGGTTAGATTACCTTTGTTACTCCGTAAATACTACCTCGAAGAGGTGGGGTATATAGAATGAGTTCTGAGTGTTCCTCTCCAACGTAAACGAACGATAAATAAATTGCTCTAGTCACTTATTTAATTGTAATAAACGAATGGGTTGAAGTGAAAAGAGTAGCGGAGTTGGATAGCCGAACGCGCCTAGAGTAATAAAAAAGTTAGCATAAGGGGTTTTCGAAAACTATGATCTGAGATCAGATGGATCACTAACAACTGTTTCAAGTTTTTGAACAGACCAAAACATGTATTTTTATAACATTTATTAAAATTGGGTAAGTTTATTGTTGTTTATCAGTCTAATTCAATTATACACTGAAAATTTGGATAGAAAAGATCAGGACATTTGATATGATCTAATTAACGCGATCCCTTTCCGAACAATTTTTAACTTCAACCGGTTTGCTTTCTGATCGACAAGATAACGATCCAATATTCATATTAATACGAACACAATTCCAAAAACTACTTTCATTGATAAGGAGGAGTGTTTAGTACGCATGTTCTTTTTTCTAATGTAGAATAGACCTATATTTCACCTTTATTGGGGAGGCGTTTGCAAACTGCGCTTGAAATTTTGGAGAAGAAACGATGGGGAAAACGACGATGGCGATAACAACTAGGCAGACTAGAAAACAACGACGACGATAACATGGCAACGGATAACGATGATGATTATGATAATGGGAAATCAGACCAGGGAGTAGGAGTACGCAATTACAATGGCAACAGTTACAAAATTTCTCAGTTAAGGAAACATTTTATTGTCTCGTTTATACTCTATCCTCTATTATATGTTTTGTGGTTTACACATCAGCCAGTGAAAAAAATAAGGTGCACTTTGATATAGTGGTATCCCCTGTTGACCTAATTCACTTTGTGTTAGGTTAAGGTGCATATTATGGAATGTGAATTGTTCAAGTTTAGAGTAATTAGAGTAGTAGAACACTTCAGGATCAGGAGCAATAGCGAGACAATTGGAAAGCAGCTGTGGTCAAATGTCAAATCAAATCAGATTTTTTATTCTATTTTGCAACATAACCTATATTTTAATATTAAATAAACGTTAATTTTAAAAAAACTAACTTTAATATGAATAAAATTTTTCCACTATGGAAGACGTGAACGTAGACGTTGAATATTGGTAGTAGTATTATTGCATATGAAATAATTAATTAACAATTATTTTTTAGTAACAAATGTGGTTATTTATACAAATACGAGGAATTAGCAAAACATATTAAGGAAAAACATCCTTCGATTAATTTAAAAGGTCGTGAGGGCCGTAGAGGTAATAAGCCCGTTTCTAACTGCATATATTCTAAAATTAATTTACAGCTTCGTTCGAGGTAACAGTTAACGGCACGTTAGTGCATTCAAAGCTCTCTACTTTAGCATATCCTGATTATGAAGATCTTTCGAAAATCATAACGGAAGCTCAAGAGGGTAAACCCATAAAGGCTCCATGTAAACAGCAACCCATTACTAGCTGTGTAGTGGCATAAATAGGTCAGTAAATATTGAATACTAATGTATGAAATGTAAGTGATCAATATATTTATTAATAAAGATTAACTATACAAGTATTTTAGTTTCCTTGTCCCTTATTCCTTTAAAATCTGCCATTTAATAAATTAGTAAAACACCTGATTTTGGTATGTAGAATTGTAACTGAAATTGTTTTCTCATGAAGATCTTGTGGACTTTGTTTGGATATTTACTTACCTTTAAATAAATTATTTTGAAATCCCCGAGTTTACCTTCGTGAATAATGTAAGTAGCGTCGCTGCCTTAGATTAGACGTCATTATTGCATTCATTTTTTTTTTTTGATGGGCCTAATGAACTATCGGAATAACAAAAGAATTGGTCATATCAGTAATTAGTGATTCTTCTAATTTGAGAGTTCATTAGCCTGGTCCTACATATCGTTTAAAACTGCACAAGACATTTATAGGGATTTTTGGAAACTACAATCAGATGGATTACCGGCATGTATTTTTCAGCCTTAAGGAAATGAAAGTATTTGATTCCTGGCAAGTGTTTGTAAATGCATAGAACAAGCAATTGACGCCGACGTAAAATTTAACATGATAAAAGTCCCCGCCCCTCCAAAATTTAGTTTTAGTAACTGGAGTTTTCAGGTAAGAACTGCAAAATTCTAAGAAATGTAGTGTTCGGTTTTTATTCTAGACCATAAGAATAGAAGAAGAAGACCATAGACCTTGAAGTGGTTATTATTAAAGTGTATCACTTTAGTACACAAATAAAACAGCATCGTAACACTGCATGTATTTAAAATGTTTCGTTCAACGATGCCTAGTCAAATGAATAAATGTATTACATTTCCCTAATTTACGCACGCTATAATAAAACAGTAATGTGTTTGTGAAATTATTATGTTGGGCTGTACTTCCTATTAAGTGTAAAAGACATTGAAAGTCAAATTCATAAAAGATATCAACCCTTACAGCTGCCATACTGGATATTTTTATTATTTAATTTTTATGATGCGTGTGTATAAAAATTTCAGTACAAGTCACCATTACTGCAAAACTGCTAATTTTGTCATGGCATACATTGCATAAAAGGACGTACTTAAGTGGAAAAGAACTATGGATAACTATAGACCAAACTAAAAATAAGGAAAATAATGAAGTTTAAGGCTAATTTTAATGCCCAATAAAGCTGCAACATTTAAACTTCCTAGAAAACCATTTCCCCGAGTTGATGGAAAATATCCTTTTAAATTTAATACATACAGTATCTCCACGATGAAGCACCTGCACATTTCAGTGTTTTCACATTTTCCCTTAATCAGTGGAATGGACAGAGAGAATGCACCAATAACTGGGCCACTGTTATCACCTGATTTAAATCCTGTTGATTTTTTTTGTGGGAACATTTTTGGATAGAGGACATGCATCGATGCAGATGCAGATTATTGTACCTTATAAGAATGTTTAGTTTCGGTTGCTTAATAAAGAATTCTTTTTGGAAATTATTTGAGAAACAAACAAGGGGTTTGTATTTTGTAAATTAACTAAAAAACTAAACATTCTACATGAAAATAAAAGTAACAAAAATTTTTTTTAAATTCTGTGACCTTTCTATATTTGTTTTGGCGTCAATTTTTTTTTTTGTAAAAATAGAAATAAGCGAATATCCAAAAAATACTTACAACATTCCCAATTTTATTCATATTCATAATATTCCTGAAAATTTCAATGGTTTTTTTTTACCGAAAAAGGAATTACGTCATAAACAACGGCGTGGTTCATTAAAACTCAATTTTTAATAAACTATCAGCACCCAAAGTTTGTAACGCACTTTACAGAACACTCTGTATAAGGAGCGTTTAATGGCAGAACCCAAGGTTTTATCACACAATTATTGTGAGAATTTTAATGATAATGTTTATTTGAACACCTTTTGGCACAAACTACTTCACTTTTGAAACGAGATCAATGGTACTACCGACTGGATTAAAGCAATAATATTTTTTTAAAGCTCAATTTTGAAAAGTTGTAAAAATGTCGAGATGGAATGCATATAGTACAAAAACAACGTAACAGTATATATTTATTGGAAGATTGAAAGACTCAGAAAATAAAACAGATTATATTTGTAAGTGTTGTATTGTGAGGTTTGCAGCAAGAGTCGCACCGGGTACGGACTCTTTATACATGAGATTACAAATTGAAAAAATGGAAATTAACCAAACAACCGGAACAAGGAAAGACACACACAACTACCGACAAAAGAGTTGTAAAAATACACTTACACAGCTGTAAATGAGACGGAGTAAAAAATACCGCAGTCTCAATTTCATTTCATATTTTTTTTTTAATTACTCGTTACAATTAAAACTTTTATTCTGACACCAATACAGAAATTGCAGTCATCCACGTAAAAGAATCAGTTTTTTTTTTTTAAACGAAAACCCATCCTTCCTCAGGCGCTCTTATAAAATACATCACTCGATGTAAATCAATACATATCTCTCAATGGACATAATATTTATAAGTATGTTATACAATTTAAATTTATCTTCACTATACAAAATTGATCCTAATGCAGGAGACGGCATCTCCGGGTTACGAGTGTGACTCGTCGATACAAACCGAGGTCGGAGGAACCTGATAAGGGCCGCCCGTCCGCCCACCCGCCCCGGGCCTCTAGGAACTTAACGCTAACACTAATCAATAGGAAATATGAATAAACCGCCGTTTAAAATAAATAGACGGGGCGCGGGGTGGACGGCCGGGCGGGGCGATCCCAGCAAGCCTCTCCGAGCTTCGCATACTGATAGTCCGGGGTCCAGCGACAGATCTGGTCGGCTCGTTTCATTAACTACACGCGCCTTCCTAATAAGTAAGTTACGATTCTGGCGTGGAGCAACAGGACAAGTCATGGAGACGGAACGGGAACTTGGGGATATTTTATTTTATTTTTATGGAATATAGGCATCGTAAAATGCCTAAATGAGTTTGTCCGACACTACCAATAGGACGAAATATATCTGCCACTTCAGCAAATATGCAGAGGAAATCATGTATTTCGACAGAAACTATTAAAATTAAAATTTATCTGTCTAGCACGTGTTTGAAGAGACGATTGTGTTGGTGCACCGTGACGGGTACACTAACACATTATTTTCAATAATTTCCAATTTGTGCAACAATTTGTTGAGTAATTCTTCATCGGCCGATTCTAAGTCAGAAAATAACAAAAAAAAATGGGCCCAGAAACCTTTGGTTTTCAATGAGATGATATTATGTGCAAAAATTTGCCATTTTGGTATATAAATCTTTTAACCAGTGGCGGAAATACTCGGAAACAGTCACTAAGAACTCTAGAATTTGACAAGTGCATTCAGATCTAGTTGGTATTTCTCGTAAAAACAAAACAAGAACACATTAAACGGGCTCTATTGCAACTAGGCAACCAGTAATACATTTTTACAGATTTTATTACAGTTTGTGTAAATATGAATTAATGCAGAAATAACAGGCTTTCCCCCATTTTAAAGCAGATTTTCCATATTATGGAGTTAGTTTGAAACCTAAATTACTTTTTGGTGTAAAGAATTTGTGATTTACTTGTTTAAAAGCGACAAATTACAAATTTCTCTGCAACAAAAATTAATTTGACTTTCAAACTAACTCCATTTTATAGAAAATCTGCGTTAGAATGGAGGAAAGTCTGTTATTTGTGCATTCATTCATATTTAGACAAACTGTGTAATAAAATCTATAACAACGTATTGCTGGTTGGCTATTTGCTATAGAGCCCTCTTAAGTATTTCTATTTGAAAATTGGAAAAATTTTTGAGTTATAATTTTTTAAAATGAGCCTACGACGTAGATGGATAAATTAAAAATAATTCCAAAAGTATTGTCTTACAAAAAAAATTTAAGGAATTTTTTATTACAAATATTTTAAATCTGAAGTAAAAAAATCTAAGTAAAAAAAACTTGCAACCTCTATGGAACAATATATCTGACTCATTCTTTTGTCACAAAGGATTATTTATTAAAAATCATTTAAAACAATTTAAATTTTTTTAGTTACTACCCTTCATAGAAAATTAATAATTTTTAACATCAAAAATTTTTTGGACTTTTCATAGTTGATTTAAATCGTACATGTAACAAAAAAATTCCCACAATTTTTGTGTAATTTTTAATTTTCAATTTATTCAACTATGTCGTAAGTATTTTACATAAAAAACAGTAATAATTCAAAATGTCGTTTTTTGTATAAAATTTATGATATATTTTTCATTAGAAACACCAATCAAAATTAAATGCACTGATTCTTATCCAAAATAATCAGCAGCTTCGAGATTCTAAGTTTTCAGAAAAAAAAACATTTGAACCACTTTTTTTCCTATCTTTTCGAGAAATAGGAGAAACTGTACTAAATCAAGATCCATTTTTGCCGTGATTCTAAAAACAAATTGAATTAGGTTATTTGCACTTTGAAGAATCAGTAGCGATTCAATTGACAATCTCCGAGTTTCTCCAATGCTTCACCAAAAATTACTATAACACGCTTGCGCGGTTATGTCGGCGACGGACTATGCAATGCAAAATTTATTTAGCGAACAGCAAAATACCAGCGAATCGCTGACGACCGACTATGCATATCGGTGTAAGAGCACAATTACACAAAATAATTTGCCCTGTTTTTTGCTATACAGGGTGTTAATTAAGTACATTGACAAACTTTCATGGGTCCACAAATCGATAATGTTTGAAATACATGATGTTTAAATTCACAGAAGAAAATCGGCTTTTCAAAGATTTGTAGAAGATGCAGAATAATGATTCTTAAGATGCTGCTCTATAGCAAATAGGCAACCAGCAATACATTTTAATAGATTTTATTACACGATTTGTCTAAATATAAACTAATGCACAAATAACAGACTTTCCACCATTTTAACTCAGATTTTCTATAAAATGGATTTAGTTTGAAACTTAAATAATTCTTTGATGTGAAGAAATTTGTAATTTACTTGTTCAAATGTGGCAAATTATAAATTTCTTTACACCAAAAAGTTATTTGAGTTTCAAACTAAGTCCATTTAATAGAAAATCTGCGTTAGATTGGGGGAAAGTCTGTTATTTGTGCATCGATTCATATTTAGACAAACTGTGTAATAAAATCTGTAAAAATGTATTGCTGGTTGCCTATTTGCTAAAGAGCCCTCTTAAGCTAATGATTTATTTAATTAAAGGTAAAGATCTGCTGAGTTTGGATATAAAAATATGTACCAGTGGTGGAGATACCAGGCGTAGCTGTCAATGAAAATTGCTGGAGTTCTACGCTACTGGATATTTTGAAAACTCGATCACTGTCTGTAACTCCTGTGGCGTTCTCAAGAAAAAAGATATTTTTCATTTTATTAACGAAACATTTGCGATACAATACTTGTTTTACATTTTTTTAACTAGAACTACTTATTTCTCAAAAAATGTTCAATGGATATTTTTAGCTACAAATACAATTTTAAATAAAAACTAATAGTAACAAGTCCAAAAAAACTGTGTTGCAGAAATTTCGCATATTGTTGAAGGTGAAACGAGTACTTCTAGGTTGTCACAGAAAATAAAAAATTATTCATTTTTCGAATAAAACGAATGATATCTTTTTTTTAGGAGACATCATAGTAAGTCAGGAGTAGTAAAAGAATTTTCGACATATTCAGTGGAACTTCTGGCGTTTTCACTGAAAGCAATTCCCTACAGCTCTGCCACTGGTAAACGTATTTATGTCTGAATTTAATGGATTTCTGCCTTTAATTAGATGATTTATTACTCCAAATTTCATTACTGTGCATTAAATGTCTCCAGAGATATTTTAGAAAACGCAACTTGTGTTTTAAATTTCAACACCCTGTACGTCAATAACTATTGATTTGTGGACGACCCAAGTTTATATAACCTTTCCGATTTAGAATCCCTCAGAAAAATCACCCCCTAAATTTGCTGAAGTGTTTAATTATCACCCTGTAGGTAATGACACTGCAACAGAGGCTGGACTTCAAAACGGACACGAAAAAGAATACCATTCGCTTATCCGACGACAATTTTTTTATTACTTCTACCAATTCGGACCAGCAGGCTACTAACGATAGTGACGATGAAGATAACGAAGAGAAACATTAAGAAAACGCATCCGACGAACAACACGAAGGCAAATCGGAGTCGAGTTGGGGCTATTATATTGTTGCGTTTTATTAATTAAAAAAAATAAGTTAAAACCAAAACAAAGCATAAAAGTTCTCTACTTTAATACTTTGCCTTGTAAAAAAATAAAACTCATCGTGCTGATCGAAACTTCCGTCATCGTGCCGACACTTAAGATTTATTTGTAAAATCGGTAGAATGCATTCATTCGTTGAGAGAGTGGCATTTTCTTTTACCTCAAAATTTTATTATAAGCTGAATGAATACAAGAAATTTTAGTGTTAACAATTTCAGTCAAACCTGTTTGTTCGTTTGACCTACTGACAGAAGTGGTAGAATGACTCTGTCTCACGATGAATGTGCCAGACAAACTTCATATAAAAAAAATGTCTTTATTTCAGTCAATCATTTCAAACATGTTGTTAGACGATAAGTCAAAGAAATTCTGAATTTTCTCCATAAAAACGTTCGTAGAGGAAAGTGTTTTTATTTAAGAGGGCTCTATAGCAAATAGCCAACCAGCAGTACATTTTTATAGATTTTATTACACAGTTTGTCGAAATATGAATTAATGCACAAATAACAGACTTTCCCCCGTTTTAAGCAGATTTTGTATAAAATGGACTTAGTTTGAAACTAAAATTACTTTTTGGTGTAAAAAAATTTGCAATTTACGATGCCACTCGTTAAAAAAATTACAAATTTCTTTATAACAAGAAGTAATTTTACTTTCAAACTAACTCCATTTTATAGAAAATCTGCGTTAGAATGGAGGAGTCTGTTATTTGCGCATTAACTCATATTTAGAAAAACTGTGTAATAAAATCTGTAAAAATGTATTGCTGGTAGCCTACTTGCTATAGAGCTATCAGTGAACTGTTGTGTGCATGTGGATGGGAAGGTTATGACAACTTTAACTCGACAGGTCGTTAAACATATTTTGTAGCAACTAACTGTTCAAGTTAATGATATTATTCTTTTTTGCTTAGTCGACAAAGCATGTCCTCCGCCAGAATGCCATTTTCATGATATACGGCACATAAAAAACGTTTGAGAAGAAACGTTAACGAAACCGGCCCAAAATTTCCGTCGCTAGCCCCCGGGCTACGATGTGTCGTGTTCAGATATCTGCGTGTTATTCTCAGAAGACAAACAACAGACAGTGTGACGATGTTTTTAGACTACTGTACAAATGAGCTGCCATTCGAAAACCAGAACATTCACTCTGCAGAGGTACCTATGGTGGGCGGTTCCGAAAGGAACCATTCAATGATTGCACTGTTTCGGGTGCAAAGCGCGGCTCCAGCCCGCGGCCGCCAACACTACGACAATGTCTGTCCCTGGTCCCTTCTAGTGGTGCCGGCGCAACCGGGATCCGCATGTTTGTCTTTTTTTTTTTCTTCATTACTCACTTCTCACACACCGTTCCTCAAGTCCTTGCACTTAACTTTGTAAAACTTGCATATAAAATTAAATAATTAAAAAAAAAAAAACAAGTTAGTCACTGGCTATCATCGCACGCTTATTGGAGAATACTGACTCGGAGAGATTCTATAGTTTAAAATATGAACTATCATCACTGGCTCACTGCGGGGGATTTTTTATCAGAGTCCTGGGTGGAGGGGGTGTTGCCCTGTGAGGGGCCCACGCCCGGCCCCCGGTCCCCCACTCCCGTTCCCCACGAGTTCGAGCCCGGCATGGGGGAGTCCGCGTGGAAGCCGTGGTTGTCATGGTCTAGTGAATTGGCGGCGTCGTACTGGGTGTTCTCTAGCCGGGTGATGAGCCGCTCGTCCTCGTCGCCGAATTCGCCGCCCATCAGGGACGGCTCACCCACCACCATCACATCCTGCAAAAGGGCAAACTTTACAAGAAATACTTTTACTTGGCCCGAAGTGTTATTTGTGGCAAAACTTCAGTTTTTTCTTTTGTACATTTTTGGTGTACATTTGAATCGTTAATTTTTCAAAAACCACGAAAGTAAAAAAAGGGAAATTTCCAGTAAAGCGAAAAAACTGTTTTGTACAAAAAGTATATTTTAAATTAGAAAAACTATCATTTTACTAATTTTGTGACTATAAGAAATGTGGAGCAAAACATAAAACCATGAAGTTTGTTAAAAAAAAATTTCTGTATTTCTGTACATGATTTTTGATGGAATACTGGTTTTTAGTATTAAACTAAACTAACGCAAAAAATTTAAGGGCCAAAAGAATTTCCAAAATTTTTCCGTGATTTTCGACAGACTGTATTTAGGTGAAAAATGGTCGTATCGGGAATTAAAAAAAGCATTTTGAAGCTCTAAGATTATAGTTTTTAGATCTTTCAGTCGAAATTTTTTAGGAGCTTTGGTTATTATGCAATTCTAAGAAATAGGGCGACTAACAAATTTTGCAACTTTCCTTTTTTTTCCGAGTCCACTGACGTGGAAAAATTTTTTTCAGCTAAGCCATTGGCATTGATTCATACCATTTTTTGAGACAAATTTCTAATTAGTTTTTGTGGAGTTTATCACTTAATAAACAGTTTTTTTCAAAACTAGCCTCTTCTCTGAAAAAAAATTTTTTTTTCATTTAAACAATTGCTGTAAAATGAGAAAACCTCAAAAAATTTTTTTTTTTCCATTTTAATCATGATTATGAAGTGTTTAAGCTCAAAAAACATGACCCTTTAATTTTTTTCAGAAGTTTGACTGTTTGAAACAAAGAAACGGTTCGCTAGATTTAGCTAATTTAGCTGTTAATTTTCTAAAAAACCATAAATTACCTTTTTTTTTCCTTTTTTTTAAATTCGTGTAAATGATTGAAGACAAAAGGATCCTTTTCCATTAAAAGTCCTATAATTCGATGAAAAATGGTCGTATCGAAATTTAAAAAAATGAAAATTGAAGCTGAATAAACAAGCTATCTGGTAAATGCAATGACTTAGCTGAAAAAAATTTTCGAAGTTCGTGGAAAAAAAAATTGCGAAATTTTTTTGTCACGCTATTTCTTAGAATTGAATAATAACCGTAGCTCCAAAAAAATATCGACCGAAAGATTTAAAAACTAGAATCTTAGAGCTTCAAAATGCTTTTTTTTTAATTTTTCACCTAAATAGTCTGTCAAAAATCACGAAAAAATTTCGCTTGACTCTTTGCATTAGTTTACTAAACGTTAATTTTATGGGAAATAAATGGAAAAACATTATCTATTACTACATATTGTTGGTGTAATTCAATGCTAGTCGAGTCATAGACTAGTCGTTGCCTGTTATATAAATAGTTAGGAATCTTTTATGCAAGGTTATGCATCTTTTGCATAGAAAAAGATTTTTTTTAAATTAGTTTAATAACTTTATAATAGAGTAAAAAAATGTCTGGTTTTGGTAGTTTTTTTTTTTAATTACAAGGTAAAGGAAAACGTAAACCAAGCTAACCTAACTCTACAAACAAATAGATTTTTAAGTAAGTTAGGTTAGGTTTTACAGATTTCTATATAAAGTTAGGTTAGGTTAAATATTTTGTATAAAATAGAAAAATTGTTTTCTAACATTAACGGGGAAACCACATCAAGAGGCTTAAAAAATAAAAAAAAATTTTATCGCATAAATTGTTAGTATAACTATTCAAGAATACGCTTCCAAAATTTCTTTTCGCTCCGATTTTACGAGCCTAAAACCGAACGCCCATCAAGTCAGCACTCAGCCGCACAAGAGTTAGGGCGGAGCGCTTGTTCAGGTAGACTTCCAGGTGTAGAAGTATGAAATGCGGATTTCAGACAACAGATGGCGCATCAATGCAGTTTGTGTATAAAGATTTGACACTGCGCCATTTTGTTGTGCCATCAACAAGCCAGACGCACACGAGTGATAAATTGGAAAAGTGTTGTGTTGTTGTGTTCAATATGTCAAAATTTATACCGAACAAAGACCATTCGCGAACAGCATTCATTTTTTGTTTTCGTTTGAAGAAAATTGCTACTGAATCATACCGATTAGTTCGAGACGCTTATGGTGAACATGCTCCACCTCAAGATACGTGTGAACGATGGTTTCGGAGTTTCAAAAGTGGTGACTTCGACGTTGAAGATAAGGAACGTGGAAAACCGCCAAAAAAAATACGAAGATGTGGAATTGAAAGCATCGTTGGAGGAAGATGATTCGCAAAGGTCACAAAACCGGTTCGCTACACTTTGGCAGCACTCAGCTGAGAAGTTTTACCCCATGCAGCTCACTCACCAGACTTGGCTCCTTCCGATTACCACCTGTTTGCATCGATGGGTCACGCACTTGCTGCGCAGCGCTTTGGTTCGTACGAAGATGCGAAAAAATGGCTCGATGGATGGTTCGCAGCAAATGGGGAAGATATTTACCGTCATGGTATTCACTAATTGCCCGAAAGTTGGGAAAAACGTATAACAAGTGATGGAGCATACTTTTTATCATTCTTCCAAATTTAACATGTTTTTTTTAGACAAAAATCGGCATTTCATACTTGTACACCTGGTAGTCACTTATTAAGCAAGACAAGATGCAAGCTTAGAAATGCCTATGAGGAAGACATGGCGCTGGAATCGCTGATTGATGCACTCGATAATATTGATAAATTTCTCAAATTTCTAGTTTTCGGAAATCTTCACGAGTTTTTCTCAAAACAAAATATTTTTGATTCACGGGAATCCTAGCTCAAAAAGTTATCCACCGATCGTTATGAAAGCGTGTTTCTTTATGAAATTACGAAGAACGTGAATCAACAATTGAAGTATCATAATTTTAAAGGTGTTTTCATTCAAAACAAGTGAAAAAAAAAATGGTGAACATAGATCAATTTTTTTCAAACACACGTCAAAACTTTAATTTTCACAATTTTTACCCACAATGAAGTTCATACTCTTCTTCATGCAGGAAAACGACCATTTTGCGTTAAGATCAAAATTACGACCTCCACATTTCCCGTGAACAATCAACTCGGATTTGATAAAATTTGTAAATGTAGCTCAAAATACTGATAAAATAATGTCAAAGTTTGATCAAAATCTAATTAATCTGTCCCACTCAAAAAAATTCATGAGGAACGCATGAAAATCAGTCTCGTAATGCGGTTTCCCCTCTTAAAATCGGTTCAATTTACAGGATATATCGAAATTTTTGTTCATAGTTTCTTTTTTCTGATTATATTTAATGTTCGAACCAAAAATGTAAATTTTTTTTAGTCTTTTTTGTTAACGAAATTGCACTGTTTTTAAAAGTAATTTTTGTCATTTCTTTATAGATGTAAATCGCAAAAACTTTTATCGAAAAACATTTTACAGAAGTGCGGCCTTACCTGCGACGCTAGAGAAAAATTAGGCCCTGGCGATCTCTTCTTGTTGGGAGCGGGAGTCACGTTGTTGGGCGCTCCACCCGAATTCGACCCTTTACGTTTCCGCCTCTTGTTCGCTGGCCTCTGAGATTCTACCCAGTGCAAAAAAAAAGGACAATTAGTTCTTTCCACGACCGTCGGGAATATCGAATACTGTTAATACCTCGCAGCGTGTTAACAGAGTGCATAGATTAGTTTTTCAGGATTTTTTTCATTTTTGCTATACTCGCTCGGCCACGGACGTCGTCGTCGTCGTGGACTCCCCCGGGTCTCAGTAAAGCAAGAATGAATAATCCTATAGTGCAATAAAATTGGTACCTCTCTTACCCGGCGGGGCAACCATCCTCTGCCATTTCTGAAATAACGTCGTCTTCAGGCAGTCCCGCGGACTCAGGGCGTACGCCTTGTGCCTCGACATAAGCTCCTGCATGGGTTCTAATATCACACATAACTAAAAACAAACCAAAACGTTATTTAAGGAAACTGAATTAAGGATAATCATTGGGAAACTCTCCAACAGCGATTATTTGGAGAAAAATAGCAATTTTTTTTTGTTATTTATGATCTCGGTCAATTTTTTATTTAATTATAGTTGTTGAAAATGCTAAAGATTGAAGTGCCAAGAAAAAAGTTATAAAGCACCAGAATAAAATAAAAAAGAAAAAAACAATAAAAAATTAGGACACGATAAAAGCAAAAAAAAAAGGGAAAAAAATTTCTGTTATACCAACTGGATAGATTTTTTGTCATGCTGAATTGTAGGTATCAAAAATATGTCACTTTTAAATAAAAACAACTTCTTATTGTGTGCGAACAATAAAAGTTTGTAATGGTAGAAACACTTGTAAAAATCATTAAAAACGTATTAAAAAATAGTGGCCCCCAAAAGAAGCTCATGGGGTACACCTGATACTGATTTTATTGAAAATAGAACATTTATTCTACAAAGACAAAGTACAACCATAAACATTATTATTTTATTAGTTGTTTACCGTTTTAAAAATTGTAAGCTAATTAGAAACATTATTTTATATTTTTAGAATCAATTTGATATCATTTTTGTTACATTAACTTGATAGAATTTTTATGTCATGTTGAATTTTATCAAAATACTGTCACAAAACCGTAGCCTCCAAACGAAAGCTTTGTTCTGCTAGGATTTTGTTAAAAATAGATAATTTATTTCACAAAGACAGAGGTCAACTGCAAACATTTATTAAAAAATATATTATTCTATTCGCTGTCCAGTTTTTTAAATTTTAAGCTGACTGGAAACATGTATTTTTTTCCATGTCAAGGTTTTAGTGTGATAAAGATCAATAAATAAAAGAGCACTATATTTTAAATTATTGCCAACATTTTGGTGTTATTTTACACCATCCTCAGGACTCTAAAATGCAAACAATGTTTTTTATAAATTTGTTAAGGTATTAAAACAATTTAAAAAACAAATACATTTACAAAAATTCTAAATAATTGTTCCTCTCACAATTACCATAAAACCCGAACAAAAAAATTCTAAAACAGCACTAAAAATAACAGGTATTACTCACTCATCGAAATTGCCCTGAGGATGGTGTAAAATAACACCAAAACATTGGCAATGATTTAAAACATAATGTTCTTTTATTTATTGATTGATTTATCGACTAAAACCTTGATAACTAATCAAGATCGCTAAACAGTGGAAACATAATGTATTTTTTTATCTACCAAAGATATCAATTTCATACCATTTCTGTTACTTGTGAGATTTTTAATGTCATGCTGAATTTTATCAAAAAAGTGTCAGCCACAAGCAAAAATATTTCAAATTGTGTGCGATCAATAGAATTTACTGGAAAAGAACTTGCAAAAGCATTAGAAAGATATTAAAGAATAGTGGCCCAAAATGGAAGCCTTGTGGCACACCTAATACTGCTAGCATTTTATTGAAAATAGAACATTTATTTCACAAACCCAGAGGACAACTGCAGACATTTTTTTTAACATGTACTTTTATTAGTTGTTTGTTGTTTTCCAAACTATTATAATCTGGGAATGTGTATTTTTTTGAACTACCAAAGATATAAATTTCAAATCTGTTTTCTATGTACAGGAAGCGGCATGATATGAAAGTAATCCAGGAAATCCTCTAAATTGTTAGATTGGAAGTTATTTTTAATGTCTGTTTTAAGAATTTTTTTTTGTACTCGTTACAATTTTATTGTATAAAATTCATAACACGGAGAGCAACAGAGAAAATATCTTGTTGAGAGCAATTCAAGAAAGGCAAAATAATTTAATAGAATTCACATCAGAGAAGCCTCAAGTAATCTTTTATTTTTTGTTTTGGAGGAGATGGTCGAAAAATAAGGAATGTATTTCAGAGAATAGAAAATCCTGCAGTCACATAATTGAAAATATTTCAAATTATGCGATAGAAACTTACAAGGGGAAAATTATTAGAAATATATTAATGAACAGTGGCCCCCAAATTAGTGCCTTGTGGCACACCTGCCACTGATAGGATTTTGTTGAAAATAGGACATACATTTCACAAAGACAAAGGTCAACCGCAAATATTTATTAAAAAAATATAATGCATTTGTTGCTCACTATTTTTAAAACATTAAAGTTTGGAACAGATTTTTTTAAAACCGTCAAATACATACATTCCGAAATATGAATATTATTTTTATTTTTTCGTATTCCAGTATTTTTCTTCAACTTTATCGTTTCTATCCTTGACATTCACTATACCGGGTTCACATGCATCGCCACATTCAAGGTTAAAATCGTCAAAACAAGTGATAAGAGAAGAAAAAAATCAACTCGCGTTATGCAACGATACTCATTGCTATACTCGATATAAGTGTGCTGTGAATTGCATATGTAAGTGTAAGTGTCAAAAAAAAACTAAAAATTACAAAGTAACTTACAATTACAAAAAAAATAAAACCGAAGACTCACCCTTAAATAATTAAGCGTTGAATTTGTAATGCCTTGCCTGGTGATATTCTTCGATAACTGGTCTAACATGCTGGTGTCTTGCTGGGAGTGCATCCCCACCACGACGGACCTGGGGATCAGCTCCCGGTGCGTCCGGACAGCAAAATGCCACGACTTTATCCTCATCAAGTCATCGAAGGTAAACTCTAGAATTAAACGGCCTTCTGTACACACCTGAAAAAAACAATTGTACGGTTATACTTATCCTACGAAAAACCACCTTCCAGAATCAATAACCCATAAAACAAAAGCCTAAATGAAGCTCGAGAATGAAAAGAAAAATTATACAATTGACGTTCCCCAAGGATGTACACTGGAGCCACTCTACTTTTGTCTTCATATAAATGGTTATTAGTAAAATTAAATTATTTTTCTTACCTTGGTAAAGAGGGGTTTACCATGATGTGTTATCATAGTGCACTGATCACAGTCTAGCGTAATACTAGTATTGTGGAAGGACTCTTTTGGATGCTTCATATTATAGTACAGTTCAGTCACTCCACCCTCAAATATACTCCTAAAATACCTGGGAATCAGCGTCCTTCCAATGGCTGAAAAAAGGCAACGATTTAAAAACTTCCGAACTAAACACGGTTTTTAGCGCAGGAAAATTTATTTGTAACTTACTGTATCTTTTGGGGCCATCTTCTAAACAAAAAGCGAGGGTCAGGGAGGCATCGTCCTCGAAAAACTCGGTTGCGAATGCGTCCCACCACAGGTTATCACTGTCCTGTAATGGTGAAATTTAACAGTTAGCTTATGGAATTATTTGCAAAAAAATTATAAATAATGATGACACCTTAAAGAAATATGTAGAAAATTCCGAATATTGATTTAGAAATAATGATCCTCATAAATATATTATTTATAGCCGATCAATTTTGTAGATAAAATCCATTAGTTGAATAAAAGAGACACATACATAAGTAATGGTAGGAAAGTGATAATGGTTTACATATAGATTATTTTTTATTCTTGTCGGTGTATTTTTAGAAAATTACACGTTTTCAAGGAAAAATTTTTATTCGTCGCTTTACTCGTACATTTTACCAAAATAAGATAAATGTTACGGCATAAATCTAAACCATTTATCTGCACAACTCTGCCAAGATCGGGTTTTTAGTTCTTTATTTGGTTTCATTTCTGAACCATCCCGACATATCGTTTAAGAAGATCTGCATCAATCAACTTTACAAATAACGATTTATTTTCATGACTGCATGGATAATGCTAAAATCTCTTACAGCAAATCTTTTAATTTAAGGAAACCAAATTTTTCAATTCTATATGTTGCCCTTTTAAATATTGATTAGTCTGCTTTAGATAAATATTGCAATGTGGACGAAACTTGTAGTGGCTTTTACAAAATATTTTTTTTATATAGAAATGTCTGTCATTTTGTATGAATAAAAATAAAAACAATTATAACCCATATAATATATTTATAAAAATAATATTCTTAAGACGGGTTCTCCGATTCCTGAAGGTTTTTAATTTTAATTTTTTTTTTAATGAGAGATTTATACCTATTTTTCCAAAACATTTAAGCACAAGGAATCATACCGCGTGAATTAAACAATTGTGGTCTTTCACTGCCTGTTATCTCTTTTATATTCTTATTTTTGTGACAGGCATCAATTTGTATGCTTCGGAGGTTTCTCATCGTGGAGGTTTACAGTCCTGTCTGGTGTTCCACAGGGATCAGTATTGGGCCAATTGTTATTCAATATTTTCATTAACAACCTTGTTAATTGTTTGAATACACCTCATCGTTTAGTGTGAATCTAATACCTATGTTGAATATTAAAAAACTCAAAATATCAATTTTTTCTCGGAAGTAGATAAATTTTGATTTTTGATACAGTATAAATAACATAAACGTAAATCTACTTGTCATAGATGCAATTTATTTTGTTTGTCATACAATGTAATTTGGTTTGTTTATCATTTAAGTGTTCTTGTCTGGTTTTTTGTACTGTACAGGGTGTCCCGAAATTCATGCAACAAAATTTGGTCATAGATTCTTAAGACAAATTTAGGGGACCCGTATTTTTACTTTTTGCCAACTGGCCCCCTTTTTTGGAGTTACAGCCCCCTGTCATCTGCCCCTAAGTCTTTTTTATATCTCAAAACCATGTTGTACGAGAATAACTAAATTTGGTACACAGAGGTTTTATGACGCTTTTTGATGAAAAACCCCCTTAACACACTTTTTCGTTGGCTCCCTTGTCTTTGGAATCAGAAAAATTTGGTCACAAATTTGATTTTTTTTTTAATTATTAGTTAGCTAGAAAGCCATTGATTTTAGAAACTTTTTTGTCTCTTGATATTTGTTTCGTAAAACGCAATGTTTTTGAGGAAAATGGCAAATCACGATAAGCATTCGATCACATTTTGACATTTTTCTCGAAAACATTGTGTTTTACGAAAAAAGTATAAAGATACAAAAAGTTTCTAAATTTAATGGCTTTCTAGTGGACTGATAATTTTTAAGAAATTTAAATATGCAACCAAATTTTTTTGGCTCCAAAGACAAGGGGGCCCATGAAAAATTGTCTTAAGGGGGTTCCTCACCAAAAAACGTAATATACCTATAATATTGGATATTTTTGATTGTATTATTTATAAATAAGGGAAAATTTGAACAAATACACACTACCTCCGTCCTTTGCTGCAGCCTTTTGTTGAGTTCATATATTCGATAGTCCGGTTGGCCGAAGTAAGGGGTGTGCCTCCTTGGGACAGGTAGAGATCTGAAAAAGAAAAAAATAATAGTTTTAGAAACTGTAGAACTTAGCACTCAATGTAAATTATATAGATTTATAGTAAGTTTCAATTTGCTTCAATAAACACGAATATTAATACAAACAAACACATCCGCAGAAGAGAAATTGAAACACATTGTTTTCAAGGTCACTTCTAAGATAAAGTCATAGTGAATGGTATATACATAGGTGAAACTTCATGTTCCTGCTACAAATACTAAAGAATAATTACTGATGATTAATTTAGAAGTCAGATTAACGTTTCCCCTACATTAAAACCAGGAAAGGGTTCTAAAGAATAGTGACGTGTACACACCCAAGAGCTCTTGGGGTTCATAGAGAGGAAATCTGCTATTTTGCAGATGTTATAATTCTCTCTCTGCTGCAGAATATTGACTAATAAGAATATAATTAGTTAAAAAATCGGCCTTAAAAAAGAAGATTCAATTTCTTGGTGATTATTATTATACAAACTGGATACTTAAAGATTTCCCGAGATAATCGTAAAGGTTCTTATCTCATTTTGGTTCTAAATTTATGAAGATAATAAAAACGACGGAATAAAACCGATCTTAAAAAATTCATCCAGTGTATTTCAAAAAATCAATTCGCGATATTTGCCTTTCTTGCCTGTGCCATTATATTTTGTACACAAATACAAAAGGCTAGTGGCTACTGGCTACCATTGACATTGACAATAATTGATGGACTTCTTCTTTTTCTTTCCCTAGTGGTTGGTTCTGATAAGTCCCGTAGCACCGCGGCCTTATTTATTGTGCGTCCCACTACTTCCTATTCAGCAAGTAGTTTTGTCCTTTGACGGACTTATATTAGTATATCTTTTAGTATATCTGCGATGGCTAATAAAAATGAAAATCGCTGCTCCTTTATCAACAAATCCCGAAACATGGTGATTTCATCCACTCAACTTTTATCATTTAAAAAAATACTTGAGTAATCGCTTAGTTATGACGACCAGGTAATGTTTCTGTGGGTACATAATTTGTTTTTTACCAAGCAAAGTTTATGTAAAAGTTGTACTTAAATTTCCTTGATATTTAACTGACAGATCCAATTACGTGTTGCAAAAAGGCATGCTTTTGGCACAAAATAACAGGATAAGTTGAATTTTCTTCCCGCAAAGGTACGCTCGCAATAAATAAATTAAGTGGGAAACCCGGAAAGCGAGAGATTTTTCAAGTTATATAGAATGACTAATATAAATTACCATTAAAAAAAAAACTACTTAAGACACAGAGATCAGAATCAATAACCATCGCACGAACGATGAATATGTATAAATTTTTTACAAGTTACAATTATAAATCGCTCTCATATATGTATACGTTTGTCAAGTTCTTTAAGTCTAGATGGAGGTTCAATAAACCACCAGGAAAACAAGTTATGTTTTATACCACAGCCTTCTGGAACAAACAACATTTAAAGCTAATTGTTGTCAGCACTGATAATGCCGTGTATTGACTTTATCCTTAAGCATAAAAAAAAAATCGATTTTATTTAAACAAATACACTGCGGAAATACGGTCCTTTTCATAAGCGAAATTCTATATATCTCATGTTAACTGACATATCTCTTACAGTGGTGGTATTATTAATACAAAAAAAATTTCCAATAAAAGGGACATCGAATCAATTTATTTATATTTTAATATAAAGTAATAAAAATTAATAGAATGATGTCTCGCAAAGACAATGAGCCATCTTAAGTGTTTTGGTAATGAAATTCAATTTCACAAGCAATTTTTCATTTTAACGTAAATAATATTTATTCAATTTCACTAATGACTTAAAAAATTTAGTTACTAGTGATTGAAATTTAATTTTAGTCACTAAAAACCAATCAGTAAAGTACCTACAAAACTGCAACTGTTTGACAAATGAGATTTACTGGAAATTTGGAACAAAATATTTCGCAGATCATTTCCTTTTCAATAAACGACCGAAATTAAATAAATATATTTTCGAACACCATCATCTCGACTATAACTATTACTCTATACTCCAGTAAAATTAGAGTTTGAATGTAAAAAAATAATTAGTAGACATGTTAATGCACTTTTTGACGGTAGAATCATAATATCAAAAAAGTAGAGCGAAAGAAGTGACACTAAGTTGGCAAATTGCAAATAAGTGTCAAATTTATGTGTTTTTTCACTTTTTTCTTTACTGCTCTCGAAAATCTAGATGACCTATCGGATAATTAGTCATTTTTTGTTGTAGGCAATTAAATTACCTACAATTTATGGTATCGAAGTCATATTGTCCCAGGGTCAGGCAAAAGCCGCTCGGGAATTCGCTCTTTTTGCATTAAATAGAGCTTACTTTTACGGTAATTAAAAAAAAAGAGAAATCACCAACGTCTTTTTGTTAAGAAAACTTTTTTTATAAAGTTAATTGTTAATTAATTATTGGAGGTATCGCACCGGGACTTTAGAGACAATTAAAGAAAGGTTTAAACTTTTATTTTCAGAAAGTTGATATTTTATGCAAAAAACGTGCTAGCAGTAGTTAACGCCAATGGACGGCCTGTAAGCGGGAGGAGCGCTCGGCCCGCGCATGCACGTGAACGTCGCTCTCGTCGCGCGCGAGATTTTTGACTTGAACGTTTCAAATTCGGTTAAAAAATCTCGCGTTCTACCGAGGGCGGCTTTTGACGCGTGAGCGGGCCCGGCGCCCCTTCTCCCGAGTGCAGGCTGTTTATTAACGTTAACTTTTACTGCTGCTAGCGCGTTTATTATATGAACTATCAATATAAAACTTTCTGAAGATAAAAGTTTAACCCTTTCTTTAATCGTTTCTAAAAACCCGGTCCAATGCATCCAATAGTTATTTAACAATTAATGTTATAAAAAAAGCTATCTTGGGAACAAAGACGCGCAAACTGACCGTCTTTTCCATAAATTTCATCAACATCCATTGCTTTTTGCAATAATAATGCACAATTTTTGAACGCTGATATTTCCGCGTTTATAGTTAACAAATAGGTGAAATATGACTTAAGATACCTTAAATTGTAGGTAACTTAATTGCCTACAACATAAAATAACTAATATTCCGATAGGTCGTCTAGATTTTCGGAGGCAGTAAAAAAAGTGAAAAAACACGTTAATTTTGAGGTTTTATGATCTAATTCGACTGGAGTACTATTATTAAAATTCGATCTAGTACGTTAAGCGACTCCGAACCGATGAATTTGTTTTTAAAATTAATTATTATTCAATGTCGTTTCGAGACCGACCAAAAGTTCCTCCTGGGCCAGACTGCGGGTCTACCAATCGGACTGCACCTTTCACCGATATTTCAGTTAACAGATACGACTATATAAATCTTCGGTTCGGCGTTATTAAATCCAACACCGGCCGCTCGATCTAATTGATGGTACTCGGGAGACTTCATGATCTCCGACAAAAATGCGCCTTGGCGTGTGTGTGTGTGTGTGTGAGTGTGGATAACAGGTTTTTCTATTAGCGAAACGCCGGTAAAACTGTTTGCCTAACCTTGAACTTGCCGGAGTTATTATATCTCCCGGTATAAATTTGAATTATGAGGACCGTTTCCAAGATCATAATTCATTGTCGGATTTATCGCGACAAGTTGTTATTCCTTTTTGGAAGCTATAAATAATCGACAAAAGAAATATGTAAATGGACGTGTCGTACAACCGCCACGAGAGCTGGAATTATACAATATTCTTAAAAAAAAAATGCTAGAGCTGAACTAGTTTATTAATTTTTTGTAAATAAGCACATAATGTATCTCTTGAATGAAAATTTTTCAATTTATTTTTTAAAGGAAGAAAATCCTTAAAAACATGAAAAATTATGTAAGATTACGTATTAGATTTAATTTTAATCTCAACTTATGCGTACCTACTACCATGGGCGTAGGTAGGGGGGGGGGCAACAGGGGGTGTGCACGGTGCCCACCTCAGGAAAGAAAGATCCAATAATGTAATTTTCCTCATATCGGTAAGTTGCCATTAGTTTTGGAATCAAACTAAAGATTGTTTAGACTTTGACATTTTACATCCATAGATCTTGCAGCTCTGGGCCCACCCAAGCAAAAATCCTAGCTACGCCCATTGTACCTACTTATAATAAATACATTATCTGGTGCAACGCACTTTCGTAATTATTCTTGCCTTCAGGTGAATATTGCTAAGGATAATTTCAGAATTACATTCAATTTAAGAAAAAAAAACGGAAAAATTATAAAAATGGAGAAAGTAGAAATATTTAAGAAATTCTAAATAAAACATTTTCCAAACACACTAGGCACAGAAATAAAGGGATATTAAAAAAATTTCAAAATTTTGGGGAATTTTCAAAGAGAACTTGGAGGGAAATGGTCGTAGAGAGAATGAAAAAATAAGGAAATTGAAGCTTCGAGTGTCTAGTTTTCGGATCTGGAGTTTAAAATATCTTAGCGTCAGCAGTTTTTGAGTAATCATAAGAAAATCAACGAAAAAAACTGAAAATGTTTGCTTTTCTTTAAAAAGGCCTATGGACTTCAAATTTTTTTTTTTTAATTTCACCTTAAAGCTCTTTTAGATAATTTAATTCTCTTCAATTTGGGCGGTTCCGGAGCCTTGTACGATGATTTGCCGTCGAGTTATCGTCGATCGAAGCAAAAAAATCATTTTTGACTTTGGCAATCAATTACTCGGGAAATAATGGTCGTACAGAAAATTCAAGCAGGGTTTTGAAAACTGCAAAGTATTCTCTACGATGCGAATTTTTTTTCTTAGCGCTCGGAATGTTTAAAGAAAAAATCTGAAAATCAATGTAATAAATGATTTTTCATTTTATTCATTTTTTTAAGTTAAAAATGTTTTTTTAGCAATAATCCATATTTTCTTCATCAAAAATCGTTCTTTATTCTAAAAAAAAAATTGAAAATGGTGAAATTACCAAAACAATTTTGTCCATCCGTTTTTTAAAGCAAAAAATTTTTTAATATCCCTTAAT